GGCCTGGGCCTGCGCTGTTTCCTCCGTCTCTGCTTCCATCCCCGCCGCTCTCGCTCGTTCCCGCTACTCCCCGGTGAAGCTCCGCCGGTGCTGGGGCTCTGCCCCGCTCCTCCCGTACCGCGTCCCCTCCGGCTGCTCCCCGCTCTGGCTCATGCAAACCCCCGGCCTCCGCCTGGCGCTCCGGGGGAGCGGGGAAGGGCGTTGGGTGATGCGTGGGGGTCTCCAGGCTTGTTTCGGGGGGCTGCAGCTTGGCGTAGCCCGGCGGGCTGGGCGCTGCGGCTGTCGGGTGGCAGCTCCGCCGTGACTCGGGGTAAGGCCGAGCCTCCTCGCCAGGGAGCGGCAGCTTGGCGATCCTTTGGCCTGCGCATCCCCAGGGAGCTCCTGGCTTTGCCCCGGGGGCAGCGGGCACAGGAATGGGGGGGGGGGGGGGGGGGGGGATGTTCCGGCAAGTCCCAAGTTGCCTGCGCCAACCCAGTCCTTGCTTTGGTGGCGTGGTGGCTCTCGCCCCGGCCACGGCCCCACTGTCCCGGCGAGCGCCGCAGGGTGGGCGCTGGGCTGAGTCCCGGGGGGCCCAGCGGTGCCGGGGCTCGGGGTGGGGGGAGCCAAGCGCTGTGTCGGGTTGCTGGGCCGTGGCGGGGGCTCCTGGGAGGTAACGGCTTCGCGGGGCCGGGTCTCCCGGGCGCGTTGGAGCTGGCTGCCAGCAAACAGCAAACCCCTCTCCCGGGGGGGGGGTCCCCAGGAGCCTCCCGGAGACGCCGAGGGGATCGAACGCCTCCGTGTGATGGGGCTGCCTTGGCTCAGCGCCGAGGCTCAGCACCGCCGTCCCGCTGCCCCGCGTGGGGCCCTCGGGGAGGGGGGGGGGGGGGGGGCCGTGCCTCCTCCTGGGGCTGCACCTCTGTGGGGCACAGCTGCCGTGGGGCGGGGAGGCCGGGTGCGGGGGCGGGGGGAGACGGGGCTCTGGCCCAGCCCGTGCCCCCCCCCCCCCCGGGCTGCCCCGCTCTGACGCTCGCCTCTTCCCCAGGTGATGAGCTCCACCAACGGAGAGCTGAACACGGACGACCCGACGGCAGGACATTCGAACGCCCCCATCACAGCCCCCACCGAGGTGGAGGTGACAGACGATACAAAGTACGGGCGCAGCCCCGCTGCCCCCCTCCCTCCCTCCCTCCCTCCCTCCCTGCCGGGTGGCTGCGGGTGCCACCAGCCGCCTTGCCCAGTGTCCCCCCCCTCCCCGGGGAGGAGCAGCCCAGCCCTAGAGCGAGTAACCCCCCCCGCTCCTCCTGGCACCGGCGAGGGGTGTCCCTGCAGGGCCTCCCCCCGCCCCGGCCCCTCGGCTCCCACGGCCCCAGCGCCGAGGGGCCAGTCCTGCAGCGGGACCCCCCCCCCCCAGCCCGGCCGTGGGTGTTTGCCAGGGTGGCATCGCCTGCCACCCACAGCCGTCGCCACTCGCCGTGGCCATCGCGGTGCCCCCGCTCCAGCCCCGGAGCAGCTCTGCCCGCGCGGGGCTCCCCGGGTGGGTTTCCATCCCCTCCCAAACCAGCTCTGCCCTGACCAGGGGGGCTGCCGAGCCCGTCTGTGTCCCGGCCCGGGGGGCTGACAGGGTCCCCTCTGTCCCCAGGTGCTGCTGTTTCTTCAAGAGAAGGAAGAGGAAAACCACCAAGCGTCGCAAGTGAGCTGCCGGGGCCGGGTGGAGCGGCGGGTGCGACGGCTCCTCTCCCTCCGGCCGTGGCTGGACCTTGACCTGCGGAGCCGGCGGCCCCTCGGTTTGGCCGGGGCCGGGGGGGGGGGTGGGGGGTGTGTGTTGGGGGGGGGCCCGAGCCGGCCGGTCTCCCCCAGCGCCCCACGCGCAGGCGGGGAGCGGGGCCTCCCCAAACTGCTTGTCCTTTTCCTCCGCCACTCGCCCAGCGCGTGGCCGTTTACGCGAACCAAGCCCGACTTCGCTGAAGTTCCTGCGTCCGTCAAAAAGGAAAAAGAAAAAACACAAAAAAAAAAAAAAAAAAAAAAAAATTGAAACAAACCGAAACAAATCCACAGCGTCACTTGCTTTTGAGTCTCTAACTAGTATGAAAATGGGGATCAACTCTACAGACTCTGAACCGTTGCTGTCAGAAGAAGCAGAAGACAATTTTGGGAGCAGTGGGCTAAGGAGGATTTTTTTTTTTTTTTTTTTTTTTTTCTGTTGCTTCTTTGTCTCTTAAGTTAATTTAAAGTGAGTCTCAGTGCAGAGTGCTGAGTCGTCAGTCTTTGACCGCCATCTTCAGTGTTACTGGATTCTGCTCTTCCTTTAGGCCCCCCCCCACCCCACGTCCCCCCCGATGGGTCCCCCCCCTTCGCTGAGGCCCCCGGTACGGTGAGAGGTGCTGGGGGGGCGGGGGGGCGGGGGAAATGCGTTTACAGTTCATTTTACGATGCACTTTTGCTAGCAATACGGGCGCTGCCCGGGCCTGCCAGGACCAGGTCGGTGACTCCCGGGGGACGGTGGGGACAGGGACAGCAGCGGCCTGGCCTGGCCGAGCACCGGGGGGGGGTCGGGGGGGGGGGAAGCAAAGCGGCCTGGAGGCTGGATGTGGCTCCACCGCAGCTTTTGGGGGTGGCGGGGGCAGCGCCGCGGCCACGGGGCAGCGTTTTATTGGCCTCTTGGGTTTTACAGACCATTCGCTGCGTGTCTGAGCCCCCGGCAGACACAATCCCCCCCACCCACCCACCCACCCAAAGGCCCCCCCGGCTGCAGCAGGCACGGGGTGGGCGGTGGCACCCCCCCCCCCCCCTCCAGCCCCACACCAGGGCTGGGCCTGATCCTGGGGCAGGGGACAGCTTGGCGTTCTGCAGCTTAACACACCAACACGGAGACACACAGAGAGACAAACACACACACACACCCCACACACCCCCCCCCGGGCACTGCAGCTTCCCCACGTGGGATTGTGACACATTCGGGGGGGGGGGGGGGGTTGGAGGGGGTGCACACTTTACCAAAACCCTGTTGTTCTGCCCCAAGAGCGGGGCTGAGGCATTGAAGGGGGGGGGGGGGGGGGGGGGGAGGAAATGGGACCATCTGTGGCTGCTTTGTAACATTTGTCCAAACTGACCATCTCGGGGGGGGGGGGGGGGGCTGGAGGCCCCGAATCATGGGAGGGGCTGCACCAGCCTCGGGGTGGGGGGGTGTGGGGGGGGCGTGGGGGCTGTGTGACCCTGCCCTGTGTGGGCACCCACGGGCCGTGGGGGCTGTGGCTGCCCGTGGGGGGGCTGTGGCGAGGGGACTGCGCCAGGGCCCCGCTGCCCAGTTCGGGGTTGAGCCCCGGCTTTGGCTGCAGGAGGGGCCGGGGCAGCCCCAGCTGCTGCTGCGTCCCCCCCGGCCGCGGCGGGGAGGGGGGTGATGTGCAACGTTTGCCCTTGTTCCCTCAACGAGGCAAACGAACCAACAAAAATCTAAAATAAATAAATAAAAATCTCGCCTTAAATTTCCCCTGGAAGCCGACCCTTCTCAGAGCATCGGCTCACACCGACCCGAGCGGAGGCCGAGGAGGAGCCGTGGCGGGGAAGGGGCCGCGGCCGCGGGCGTTTGCCGGGCTCTGCGCATCCTCTGCCGGGGGGGCTGCGGGGGCAGCCGGGGACGGCGGCCGGGCCCCCGGGGCTCAGTGTCCTCCCAGCGAGGAGTCCAAATACTGAGATTGTACGTGAGGGCGTTTGTTCCATCGCGAGTTTAGTTACTGCTTTAAAACAAAGTGTACAGAAATGGCATTTAAATTTCTCTGATGCTTCCTGGAAGCCATAGAACTTAGGGGCGCCTTTTTTTTTTTTTTTTTTTTTTTTTTTTTTAATAACGATTTAAAAAAAACAAAATAAAAAAATCTTTAAAACCCCATGCATTCTTCTGTGTTTGATGACATGGTCCGGAGGGTGGGGACACTGACCAGCACCCCCCTGGGTGGGAGCTGCCACCCCGAGCAGAGTCAGCTCCCCGGCTGCACAGGGGCCTTTCCTGCTGCTAAATACTCTGAAGCTAAAAATACATCCCCTCGTTTCTTTTTCATGGGAAGCAGCGAGAGGAAAGGCCTGGGGAGGTCGCGGGGGCAGCTCCCAGTGGATGTTCCTGAGTGGGGGAGGCCGTGGGTCAGCTCCCGGCTGGCTCTGAACGCGGAACTGGGGGAGCCTTCGGCCTCGTGGCCGAGGAGGAGGAAGGGCAGGATGGGCATTGTGCTCGAGCCAGGCAAGATCCGGCTGCGGCCACAGGACCTTGTGCCTCCTGTGCCCGTGTGCACCGGGGGGGGGGAAGGCTGGGGGTCCCCACGGCTCCGGGCACACGGGTGCCCCCGATAAAGGGCTCCAGCACCAGGCGGCCGAGGGCTGGAAGGTCCCAGGGCAGCCCCTTCCCCCCGGCCCCGCCGCTCCCCGGCTGCCGCCCCGGTGTTGAGCGACGCGCCCAGGAGCTGCTGGAAGGTGCTTTTTTGGGGCGCAGCTGCTGCTCCCAGGCCCGGCAGAGCTCCCCCCCCCCCCCCCCCCCCCCCCCCCCCACTCCTGCCTGCTCCCCCACCCGCCCCTCGCAGCCCCTCCGGGCCAGGAGCTGCCTCCAGTCCTGCCCTTGCAGCCAGGACCAGGGAACAAAACACACCCCGCTCGCAGCAAGGTCCCTGCTTTCGAAGACCCCCGACGGCCGCAAAGGCCAGGGCAGCTTTCAGGGCACGGTTCACAAAACCTTCAAGGTTAAAGAAATGGCTATAAAATGCCAGGCTGAATCCATGGCCAGGATGATGCCCGCTCAGCCCCCTCCGTAAGAACGTCGCTCCCCCGAGGGTCTGGGCTTCCCAAGCTGTGTCTGCCCTTCTCTCCCGACTGGGGAGTGGGCTCGGCCCGTGCCCTGCGGAGGGGGAAGCCGAGGGCCTCGCGTCTTCGCCTGGGGAGAAGGGCCAGGACCCAGCTCAGCTCAGTCCCCCCCACCCCACCTCCCCCCTGACCCGGCCGCAGCCGCCTGCTCTCTTCAAATCACCAAGGAACGTTGGTAAAGACAACCCGAATGTCTTTATTGACTTCCTATTTACAAATCACAAAGCTGGCCAAAAGCAGGGTGTGAACACTGAACGAGAGCATCGGATACATTCATCAATACAGCACTGGAGTCGAGACAGTCCCAGCTCTGCTCGGAAGGTGACGTGGTACAACAGAAAGTCTCATACTTTTGGAAACAGGCATGTCCAACAATGAATGACATTCATCTATCTACAAAAGCCAGAATTGCATCAAACTGCATAAAAGCCGTAAGAACAGAAGTTTGCTCAGGTGTAGTTCAGAGTTTGACCCCTCGCCCTCCCCGCCAGGACAAGCCACCAGACAGACCGACCTTGTGGGGTGGGGCAGGACGGGGGGGGGGGGGATTTGGGAAGAGAATCTGCATAACAAAGTAGCCATAAAAACCAGATGCTTCCAGGGAAGAGCCAGCGGGAGGAGGCGCTGACGCCGAGCAAGGCCTGCGCAGAGTCCTGCTCTTCCCCCAGCCAAGGGCACAGCTTTGCCCCTTTCAAATTCCAATTAATTATTCCCACCATTGCCACCTCTATCCCGAAGGGCCCGGGGGCAGCCAGCCCTCCCCGGCAGGCGCAGGCGGCCGCTGCCCCCAGGACGGGGGGGCTGCCCCCCTCGCAGGAAGGAGCAGGCCCCGGCTGTTAATCCATCTCACACTGCTTGCATTGCACAGTCAGGTTCAATAACTAAGTCATGGACCCACCATTTTGGGGATTTTTTTTTTTTTTGTGGGTTTTTTGTTTTTGTTTTTGTTTTTTTTTTGTTTGCTTTTTTTTTTTTTTTTTTTTAGTACTGGCCATATTAAAAACACCCTACCTTGAAGCAGGCTTACAATATCCACATCTTACAACGTCTTCCTAGGGAACGCAACACACTATTGACATCTCTAACAGCTACTGGTGAGGAGGCGCAGGGTGTTGCCGACAGTTCCGCTGCTGCGCGGCCGACGAGGAGAGACCCGGCCACCCACAGCCCGGGGAGGGCGCCCGACCGGGGGAGCCAGAGGAGACCTCACCCCCCCAGCAAACGAGCAGGCTCCGAGCCCTCCGCACCACGAAGGACGAGCAGGTTTCAACTTCTAGCAGCTCAACAGGGGGGGGAACTGCTGCCCGGCGAGTTCCGAGGGCTCCGCGCGCCTGGAGCCGGGGGGGGGGGGAGGTTCGCAAAGGGGAACCTCAGCTTTGAGGTGGCACCACCCTCTGCCAGCGAGCCCCACGCAGACTTCGGAGGGTTTAGTTACAGCTTCCTCTGCAGAGGAGGGGGAGGAAATAGTCTCGTCGTCTTCATCGGTGGGCAGCGACCAGCACAAGCCACCCACCTCCTCCCCGGCTCAGCTAAAGCCGCACCTGCTCTGGGGAAAAGCAGCCGGGCCCCGAGCAGGTAAGGAGGGGGAGTCTTCAAGATTACTGAGCTCAGTGACCCCGAAACAGGTGAGATTTGGCATCTTCCTCCTGCGCCCGTCCACACCGGTGGACTGTGCAAACGCGTGCAGGCCCACGGAAAATCCTGCATGTTTTCTTCAACTGTTTCCCAAATCCTCGTCCACCCGCCGCGTTATCGGCCGACAGGCAGTCGCCCGGCAAGCCCCTCTCCCCGTTTCGCAGCAGGCTCCGCCGCAGCCCAGGGCGGGTTAGCAACGCACAGAAACAAAAAGAGAAAATGCATTGAAACGTGCATGAGAACAGCAGCAATGGGCAGGAACGGGGAGGGAGGGGGGGGGGGGCCAGGCGAGGCAAGTGCCCTGGGCTTGCTTCGGCTGCCGAACCCCCGGCACGACCTGCGAGGAGCACAGCAACGCCTGGTGCGGGGGGGGTTTCTCTGAGGATCACCCATCCTTCCAACCCCGCGCCGGGAGTTTGCAAGAAGCAGCCCCAGGGCCCAGCGCGGGGGGCTGCGCGCAGGGGAGCCGAGAGCCCGCCCGGCGGGGGAGGTCAGGCCGCTGCCGCCAACCGCCCAAGGTAAAGGATTGTCACAAATCAGCCAGGACAGCACGAAAACGCCGCAGTCTCCCCGGAGGCGCTCGGGTTTTGAGGCCTCCCCCCCCCCCCCCCCCCCCAAGACCACGTAGTGCTGAAAGAGCAGGAGCCTCAGGGCAAAGGCCACTTGCCGGAACTTTCTGAAGGCGGGCGCACGTGCCACTGCGGCGTGGCGAAGCGTCTCGCCTCCGCTGCTGGGCTAGAGCAGAAGAGGATGGGCCACACGGCCCCTGACCGGGTCTTTTTGCAGGATCATCTCCTCACAGCAAGTGTAACCACAACCAGAGCCACTTGTTTCCATGCTTCTGACCGGTGGAAAAGCATCTACATTCATTACAGTCAAAAAACCGCATGTTGTTAGATAGGATTAATCAGTAAAGTGAAAAATGACTAGCCACAGACAACCTACAAATGATACTGGTATACCAGTTAGTCTGGTACGTGATAGCAGCAGAATCACTAGCACAAGGCAAAACATGAGCTTCGAAATGATTTTACTGAGACCTTTGGCTAGTGTGGCTCCAATTGGTGTGGTCAAACTCAGCCAGAAATTTAGTTTGGAAGGTCACGGGGAAGAGAACAGAAGAGTCCAGAGCCAGCTCGGCAGCGGCACTATGTGTAGAAGATGATCTCTGGGATTTGTCCATCCTCCACCGAAGTGCCGTTGTTATTCCCAGCTGCGTAACAGAACATAAAGCAGGTTTTGGCTCCCGTCGTCGGTGATTCGTGGATCACTTTGCGCAGTCCTTTGGTTCCATAGTGGGAATCTGGACCCTGCGATGGTCACAGGAGACAAGAACAGATCAAGAGAGGGGTGGCAGCCCCGCGGGCCCCGGCACGCGCTGGGGGTTTGGCCTCACAGCCTGGGCAGAAGCAACGAGCTCTGTTCACCTCAGCACCTCCCTCTGCTTTCTGCTTCTCGCACTTGGAGCGAAGTTCTCATCTCTGTCAGAACTTAACACTACACTTAACCAGATCCCAACAGTTAAATATCAACCTTTTCAAGCCGCCGCAGGCAGGCTCTGCACTACACGCTCGCAGGACTGACACCTTACCTGTATACATCAAGAAAAAAAAAAAAAATCCCATTGCTTCATCACTAATGTAGCCTATTCATTACTGTCCGCTTGCAAGACGAGTTAAAAACCACCTCTCAACGCTGGTGGTGAACGTGCTCATTGCACTGCCACGTGCAGGACTACAGAGCAAACCTTCGAGATTATCCTAGGGGCCTTGCAAAGGGCAGAGCGAGAGCCATGCTGCGCCGAAGGGGCTGAAGCAGCCTGCCTTCAGCCACCTTTATCCCGCCTCCTCCACCCAGGCCGCCCCGGGACGGTACCTTTAGAGTAGCACACGCTGTATAGTTGACGTTGGGTAAAATCTCAACGGGCTCCTTGAACATGACCCGGAAAGTGTTGGATGATCCGTCGCAGCTGAACCCCGTGTCGTTCTGCCCCAGGACCGTGTTACTGTCCGTGTGGATGATCTGCAAGACACACGCTCGCTTTTAAACCTGCCGAGTCAGCTGAACGCTGCCCTGCACCAGTGCAGGTTGTGTCCCCCCTGAACTGGACCCAATCTGAGGGACTCAGTGGTCTGATCCCCACACCACCCCCCCGTTACGACTGCGCCACCCCGTTACTTCTGTCCACCTTCAGCGCTGCGATCACACCGAACAGCTGTGGGCTTGGGCCCCAGCCAGTCCCTCCTCACCCTGGGGCCTGGCAGAGGACTGCAGGCTGATGTTCTGCGCCTAGATCCTCACCTGCCTCTCTCCTCCAAAAGCTCAGGGGCACCAGGAGACCCTGACAATTGAGGAAGGAGTGCCGACAGACTCCCGCTCGTCACATCAGCTGGGCTGTGCTGGGGTAACCCTCCTGGGGACGAATCTTCTCAAGTGATCCAGACTGGGGTTACGTATGTGCATCCACAGAACAAGGCACACAGGATTTCCGTAAGCCGCCCACCCCAGCCTTTGAACAAGATCATGACAGACTTCAGAGTCTCCCTCGGCCCTACTTGTCACCTCAAACAGGACACTGACGACGTGGGGCCGCACACGCGGCACTGCACAGGCCCAGCACAGACACAGCAATTGCTTTCTCTTCCCTTGTTGCATCGAGGCGGCTCCGTGGCATTTGTACAGCTCGGGGCAAAAGACAGGCCAAGTACTACGGCAGCACCCAACTGCAGCAGCCCCTGGAGGGCAGAGCTGGCCTGGCCTGCTCTGTGGGGGACAAACATGCACAGCTTCTTCTCCAACTGCGTCACAACTCTCCCAGATGTATTTTCAAAGGCTGCGAGCGGACTTGGGGAGATCCTGGAGTGACGCACGCCGCGGGGGGCTGCATAAAATCGAGAGCAGTAATCCCTCTTATCCCCAGTGCCCCATCTGGACCTCACTACATCTGCCAACCACCCTATCTAGAAAACAAACACAGTCCCTTCTAACTTCAGACTTTGTTGCACATACGCTAAAATGTGGAAGTTAGCTCCTACAGCAGCAAAGATTTTTAACATAGTAGAGAGAATTACCTGTATATTTACTTGGTAATCCGTTGGCCCATGTATGGATCCGTATAATCCAAACCCAACTACAAATATCCTTTTGTTTACTGAGAACCTGCAGGAACAGACCAGGAAAGTCAGACCAAGCTGCCACTCCTGTATTGTTTTAGTACAAGGATGATACACAAATATCTTCACTCGCTTTAATTTTATACCTATGATTTACTCAAATATACTACAGTTTTAAGTGCAGTTCTTACTAATAACTGAAATCCTTTACAGAAACCGTAAATTGTAAGCTTACACCTTTGACTGTCCTAGTAGGCCGGCAATAATTTAATTTGCTCATGTAAAATACAGAGCTGCACGATCCCATCAGCGACCCTCAGAGTCCAGACTCAGGAAGCATTCCGAGGTTGCTGCAGTGTCAGCATCCAAACCCATGAGCCAGGCGAAGGCCTGGGGAGCGTGGAACGGTGCCCACCCTGAGGACAGCAGCAGTCCTTCCAGCAAGGTAACAGCAAAGACCGCTTAAAGTGTCATTAGACAGTTCAGTGCTGAGCACTGGAGGAGAATCGTTCATGTGCTTCTGAGCATTTGCTGGATATAGCTGCACTCAAGATTTACCCCCGAGTAGAAATTAAGATTCAATAGCTCCTGAGCGTAGCAATTCCTGCTGCCTAAGGCAGCAAGGGGAAGGATATTCACCCCGCTGCCTCACTACAGCTCCATCTTCTCAGGTAGCAGAAAGCCTCAGCGCCTGCCAAACTGCCAACCTAATTTCTTCACCTGTCCACCAACTCTCTCAGCCCTGCATGTTTCAAGGACAAACATCTGCAGTAGGCTAGAAGCCACTGCTCTGCAACCAGCATAAAATAGCCAGGGTTGAAATTGCACACAAGGCTTGCTGAAGGCTGACCCTGATGCTGCCAGGAGTTGCACTTAAAGTCAAATACAAGCTCCAAAAGGTCTCTGAACGTTAGATCTGAGCGCAGTGTTCGGAGCTAGCAGCTCTCCCCGTTACAATCTCCTGTAAGGGGATGAACAGACCAGAAGATCCAACCGACAGCTCCAATCAATATGCAAGAAAACTGTCAACAAGAAGACTTAAAAATTTTAAAGAACTATATTAATGGGAGTCCCCCTTCTACCCCCTTCTACAAATCTGAATTGGGAAATAACCAAGGCTTTTTGGTTACCTCCCGTCTTGCTCTAATCACTTTGCCACACAAGGCTTGCAAACTACCATTTGCCATGCCACATCTCCACATCTTTGTCACCACGATCGAGCTTTGCCGTTTCTCTACAAGCTTGGGTCTGAACAAACCAGGTATTAGCAGAAAAGCAGGAGCAGCAAGCATTTCATCCCAATGCCTCCCTGAAATAGGCGAGGGGCTTCAACAAGCCACATTTACCCTTCTAATAAAGCAGGAAACAAACCTGATGGAGCACTGGTGAGTGGACATACCCAGGCACAGGGGGAAGCCACAAGCTGCCCGGTGACTCCAACCACTACGTGCCTGTACAGCTGCAGGAAGCCACTTGCAAAGGAGAGAAATAACCCCACCCCCCCCCCCCGAGAGGCCTGTGCTGGAGGGCCACTTTTGCTGGCAACCTTCGGCAGTGCAGAAGCAAAGTGGCAGCCTGCAGCTGCACATGCAGGTTAACGCATCAGGCGATGCTTTTGCCCAGCAAAACGCTTTTCCCTTCGGAGCCTGCACTCGGGTTTATATGGTGGAAGTCAGGGTCTAGCACGTAACTCTGCGGGTTTAGGTCTAGAGTAGGCTCAAAGCTCAGGGAACACGAATCTATCAGCAGCAGAATTAGCAGAGAAGCTGACCTTATCCTGTCACTAGTCCCACTGTACCCCCAGCGGCTCTCCACCTGCTGGAAACGGCTGATGCTGCACTCCTTCCCCCGCAGGCAGCACCGCGGTCTGTCGATGAACTCCACGCGTGGCTTCGGATTCACCGTGAAGTGGAGGAACAGGCTCACCACCTCCCGGTCCGTGAGGATCCCCGACTGGGCAGGCCCTGCAGAGGAGCACGAAAGCAGCGATGCCGTCAGCCTCCAGACAGCAGAAGGGATCCTTTCGGGATTGACGTGGGGAGGCAAACTTGACTTGCAGCTAGGAGTGGAGCAAACCCACATCACGCACGGGATCTCGCTGGTGTGTCAGGAAGTTAAACCCCAGACAGAAAGGTGCTGCCTGCCTTTGCTCTGCACACCAGTCACGGACTGCGGGGCCCCCGCACGGGGCACGGCCGCGACACGGCGGCTACGCGCGCAGCTCCGCGGAGCCGCAGTGCGTTTGGCTAACAGGGCTGGCTCACAAAGCTAGAACATGCAGCTAATCCTTCCCCCACTCCCTCAGGAGATGGTAACAGTGGTAAGAGACAGGGATCTTCATACAGCTACACTGGGATTTTATAACATTATTGTTAAGATATCATGAAGCCCGTGGAGGGGTAGTGGGAGGGAACGTCACCCGGATACCGTCAACTTAGAAAGTCCGGGAGTATTTTTCAGTCAAGACAAAGGTGGTTCAGCTCCCGCCCTGCTTTGATTCCCCCCGCCCTTGGGCATTTAATCCCTGCTTTGGGTTTGTTTGAGGTTTTTAATACCTTTATTGTAGTACTTCGGGAAAAATGCTAGAGATTGTAGCAAGCGTTGGAACACATTCTCATCTGGTCTCCAGTAACGATGTTTTCTCCAAAGTGATGCTAAACTCAAGCTTTGGAAACTACTTCAAATACTTTTGAAAGAGGAACCAGGTAAAAATCAGTCTTTTACCGTAAGAGTCAAAAGCTGCTCTGTGCCTCTATTTGCAAGAGGCTTTTAACAGAAACAAGACTACTGTGCACTGGCGAAACAACAGCATTAAGTGCTGCTTGATGTGAGAAGTAAATGCCCAGCTACTTGTTGGTCCAAACCGACTTGTAGTTGGTTAAATTCAGCACAATGTTACACAAAAATAATGTGGTCCAAGGCCACAAGAGGCAGAGATGAAGGAATTTAAGGAAGACGACTGTTAACAGATAAATGATCTTATGGATACTTTGCTCAGCACAAGTTAGCTGTCATTGATCATGTCTAAACTTATCCTGCGTTGCTGCAATTCAATTCTTAAAAGTTTCAAATTACTTGCTCCGAGGGATGGGAGCGACACATTTGCCAGTTAAAACATCTTCATGCAAAGCTCCATGTTCAATACTAGGTTGTACAATAAACGGGTGAAACCACTGCCTCCAAAAATCCTTTTCTTCTTTTTTGCTTTTGGGAAAAGGGGGCGGAAGGGAGTGGGTTTCCTCTCCCACCTCTGCCGTGATGACCGAAGAAATCAGCGTCACTCAGAAACTCAGCAAAAGGACAAGGCCGAAGCAATTCCAAGGTAGTCTCTTGTTTAAGGAACAGCTGACCGGCACAGCCTCCCAGGTTTGGGGATTCTTTTGTTCATCTTTTAGGCTCAAGCGGATGGAGAAATGAGTTCCACTCAAAGCAAGATGACTAACCAAATATCCAAGCGGAAGAGGCAGTCGTGACAGACAGTACGGGGAGGGACGGTGACATTCCCAGCTCAAAGGCTTCAACCCAAATATGCTGAAATTAGCCCATTCCTCCCGGTGAGAGAGCATGACACAAGATCTGAAGGAAGGGTTGAGAGAGACAGGATCTACAGAAAAATGGAAAGCTTGGTATGCACAAACTACTGACGTCTGCAACGCTACCCGGGAGGACGCTCGCCCCCCTCAAGCCGGGCCGCGCGCCCCTGACCTGCTGCAAAGCTGCTGTTTGGCACGCCGCGCCCCGAGGAGCGGAGCGCCGCGTTCCCGCCGGGGGCCAGCACGAAGGGAACTTTTCAGTGCGGATGAACAGACCTCGGCCTCCCTGAGCAAGCACCTTCTGAAGAGATCCACATCCCTAAGACCACACTGCGGCTGCGACAGGGCAAACAGAAAGTGGGCACCGAGTTTTAAGCACAGATTCACTTCTTACTAGCACCCTTCATACGGAAATAGGTACATCAGCTGGGGATAAGCTGATGCCATCTCTGCCTTGAGAAGTGATCTGCGAAGGAAGTGGTGTCAGTGACCCTTTTTGCTTCTTTGTACACATAACTTCAGCCTAAAACAAGTTTCTGTTTTGAAAATGGCTCCACCGTGTCTTTTAGCATGAAAACTATTTAAGCTGATTGCCAGTTTTCAATCCCTGGAGAATCACCAGAGTATGAAGTCAAAGACAACAGGCAATGAAAACAAAACAAAAAATGTTTAGTCAAAACTGTTAAATGATTTAAACATCTCTGCAGATCAAGATCTTAACATAAACTAGAAAAATGCTTTGAGACAGACTAAACACCACCAACCCTTCATCTCAAAGAACATTTTGAAAGATTTCTTCTGGTATGGGGCTCTGCTTTGAACGGCATCAGCAAGACACAGTCAACACCACCAGTGGACTACAGGCGGCAGCAAATACAGAATGGGGAGAAACATCCTCATTTCTCTCTGGGAGAAGGCTACAATCAATACCAATTAAACACTTGGAATGGTTAAAAAGGAAAGATGTGAACTCCCGTTTGGATCTCTGCTCTCAGCTAAGTGAGAAAGTAACCATCTACACATACTATAAGCAGAAACAGTCAGCTATGGTCCGACTTGCTCCTACCTGATGGAGCACTGTAGTCTTTAAAACAAGAGTGAATGATCATGGATGAAAATAGCATTTACACAGTAAATTTTGTAGGTCAGTGGGAATGGGGAATAATCTCAAATTTAAATTACTACAGGATACACAGAGGAAATCCATTTTCATGTACTTGATCCTCTGCAGAGTTCAGAGAAAGGAAAAGACCAGGGTTGCCAGAAATGCCTTTGTTCAGTTACCTGCTGCAAACTCCTCAATAGTCATCAATGGGAAGCGGATAAGAGAAAGCGCTTTGCCCAGTACTTTCCGCTTGTTCTCTGGAATCACCTGAAGTTGCTGCCGTTGACACTCAGCCTCTGACCAGCGAACCACTGCATTAAACAAACGAACCTCCCGGATCCCCAGGGTATCCCTCTCCAGCACCGCAACCAGGGTGTCTGCAAGGCAGGACAGACAGTGACAACTTTAGGCACTAACCCAAATCACACCGTTTCACCTAGCCAGAAGTACCCTATGTACAGCCAAGGTAAGTAAAAGAGAAGCAACTGAAAAAACAGCATCTCCCAAAAGTGCTGCCTGCAGCCTCTGAGGAAGATATATCTGCATATTCCATAAGTAACTCACTCACTGGAGCAGCAAACAGTGCCCATTTAATTGGCATGTTAATGGAAGTGCAGTAGAACGAATTGCAACTTACTTGACGTCAAATTTGGATGAAGAAAGCAGCATGAAAGCCAGGTTACCCATGCCTTACCTCCACAGTCCATCTCATTAGAAGAAGGTTAAAGTCTGAATTTTAATGTTTATGAACTGTGCCCAGCAAGTCTGAAAACTGCATACAGTAATTAAAATAGCCAGTTCTTGCTTTCAAAAACGCAACACCTTTCTAACTCCAAAACCTGACAACGACTCAGGGAACAATGCCAACTCCACATAAGATGACAAGTTACACCCACCCAAAATCTGCCAAAATCAACAGAGGAAATGGGCTTTCTACCATGCCCAGAAAACTCAAGTTGCACCAAAGTAAGCAGATTCCAGGCTATTTCTGCAAGCAAGCATGCTCTTTTGCAAATGCCTTGTCTCTAGCCACTTAGTGCCAGAGACTGTTCGTTCAACAGATTGCTCCAGAACAGCAAAGCCTCAAAAGAGAAGTGCCAACTATTAACCTGTAGTAACTTCAGAGGCTAGCTTGTTATGAAAGCATATAGAGGGAGGAGAGGAAAAAGCTTACCCAGATCAATGTCTGTAAACCCCTCCGCATTGATGGCATCTGAGGTGTTCTTGTCGATGTTCTCTAAGCAAAGGCTGGCCAGCTGAGGCTCATCAAAAAGTCTTGCCTAGTAAGGAAGCAGCAGTGGTTAACACAAAAAGTATTTTAAAGTTTACACTAAGTAAGGACCCCCCCCCCTCTCTCCCAGAGCCCATCTTCATTAGCAATACTATGCCTGACTGCATCATTAATTCACTGGGCTGCAGCAGGCTTTCACAGGCAGTTAAGCATGACAAGGCAAACACTAGAAAAATCTGCATTTGGCATCAGTTCTGTTTTAGCTGTGCATGTCTTCAGGCATGTCTTTATTTTAACATCACATCAGTTAAAGTGGCTATAGTGCTTTCGAGCACCATACTGACCATGCCAGCTGAGCATGGGTAATTTTTACTATACCATTTTTATATTTAGAAGAAAGCTTTATTCAGTGACTCTAGGCCTGCTTGCTCTAGGAATATGCAGAGGCAGCTTATTCTGTAAGAACGCAGTCACGCTGATCTCACGTATTAGCAAAAATGCCTTAGCAGGCACACTGCTGGCCTCGCAGGGAGATGTGCAAAACCTTGTGGGGTTTGCAGCCTGCTTAGTGCATTTGCATGTTTTGCACAGAATCAGCTACTCGAATCTAGTTACCTTTCAGAATTCCCCCCAAAATAGGTTACTACTTCAAACAAAGCCTGAACTCAGCTTGGAGAGTTGCTCTGAATCTCTCCACCCAACCTAAGGGCAGTCTTGTTAACAATTTCCCTACCACTTCAGTTTCCCCTGGACTACCAAAACACGTTAGCAACCCTGTGCCTAGCATAAGCACAAATGAGGTGGGAACACACAAAAGTCACTAAAATGACATCTTATTTCCAAGGCTTTGGTTTTGCTATTTAGGAAGGAACTGCCTTAACATCACACCTAACATTAATGGAAGAATACACTGGGACTTGAACTCACTGCCACAGGTAAGGTTTAAAAATTGTGGTTTGGGCTGGGAATTCAGTCGCTCACGGACGCCAGCGCTATCGAGCATCTTCCGCTTCACCCTCGCTCATGTGCTGTAGAGCTCAGCAAGGCCAGCCTTCGGCGCTGAGACCTCAAGTGCAGAGAGCTGAAACAACTCTCCGTTTTTCCAGGGACCAGGGAAGCTTCAGCAATCATCACCTGCTCCCGGGGCTGGAGGACTGCCAGTGCCTTACACTCTTGGCATCCAAGAGCTGTGACTGACTCAGACTTTACTACTATAGTGGCTCTTTTGACACGTGAAAGACTTGCGTTACACTCACAGAGTTCTCCCCCCCACAGCAGCTTTAGGCAAGCCATTATTTCCTTGCTGATCAAAGTGACATCTGCGTGTACGTCTGGCATGAAAGAGGATCACGGTTCACTATGAGGTGCAATCAATTAGGAGAGCTGTTTGCCACTGGTATTTCTGCCGGAGATTAGCAGTTGCTTGAAATGTGGTCAAGGACATGGTTGCTGGACCAGCAGGATTCGGCAGCGGTACACGAAAAGGAGGTTTGGGGCTCTACCATCTTAGGTCCACGATCTTAAGCCTATCAGGAAATGTTTTGTACAAGATGTATCTCAGGTCTGTAATTAACTGTACAAATTGACAATTTGTTGGAGTAAAAGCAGAAAACAGAGGCCGATTTTCACACTGAAGGACCAGAACCGAGAGCATTTTGAGAACAGATCCAATTAAACAAGGCGCCTTGTGCAGCCAGCCGTTGAGATACAGATACCCTTCTCAAAGAACACCAGCCTCAAACATTTAAGAGACTTGATATACCACAACAGTGAAGACAAACTAGACACGAATCACCACTGATAATAAATCATAATGGATAAGCCACAAACAAAAGGAACCAGGAAGGCCTGTCTCCACCTGGCATTTCAGCTGCCCCAGTGCAGCTGACAGAGTGCCAGGCAGTATCTTGATTTTGATATCTGAAAAACTAGGACAACCTCCTCTTTTGCCAAAGGAGGACCTTTGTGACTTGTATGGAAGTCACCATGAACCTAAATGTTACCCTGCCAAAGCTGCAAAGTCAGGTTGCAGAGACCTAGCATGCCACAAAAATCCCCGCATAAAGAATGCCACCAAAAAGCCGACACCTCTAATCCTCATGAGGTGATAGCTAGCGTAAGATGCCTCTTCAAAACTGCAGCCTACAGGAGAGATCTCTTCTCAGCTCTTGGATAAACAGCCCCTAATCTTTCAGAGTGCAGGCTGCTGAACAAAAAAAACGAGAGCTGCAGCCAAAGAGTTACAATTGTCCTACCACACGTCAGATGGGAGTGCAGATTTGGCCACCATCACCCAAGCAAGAATCTTTAAGTCCTGAATCTTCTCCAGGGAAGTGCAGTGTGGTTCCCCCATGTCTCAGAGGCTGCCTCACCCGTTTATGGCATGTGGAAAAGGGCCAAGATAAAAGAGAGAATGTGTAAAGGACATGGTATTTTGCAGCAATAGCTGAATCCCAGCAGCGAAGAGTGTCTACAACAGCAGTGTAATGCAGAACTACTTTGAGAACTTGATCCAAATACTTAAACTCAACCCCCCAGCCTAATTGCAACAAACAAGCAAAGAGCTCAGTAGTGACTGCTCCAGGCCAACACTGCTTTAGGGCTACACTGCTTCAATTTCTGCAAAAATTGCTGGTGTAGACACTGCCACTGATGCAGTAACTACAGTCAGAGCATCCTGATGGAGAAAAAAAGCCAGCAGACAGATACACCGGGCAAGACAGGTCAACCCCTCAGAGCCAGACCGCCTTAGTGCGCTGGTCCCCAAGTCAGGGCAGCTGTGAAAACTCCTCCTCTGCCAGGTTTGTTTAACATCAGAAATCACAACAGCTTTGTGGGCTGGCTGATCAGAAATATTCCTCTAGAGCTAGTCAAAAGTACGCTCATTCCCTAAATGAAAGAAACTTGCACATACAATGCCTATTTGTTTCTTGTTCCTACGTGACCCAGAACAGGGCATCCCTAGAGATGCTACACACACGGCAACACATAGGTGACAGCATGGTGGAAGTCTCTGATACATCATTAACTGTCAGCAGAGAGGATGGCAAGGACCAGAAAGAAAAGATGCGGCTAGGAAATGGGAAGGACAGCGATGCTAATTTAATCAACCTGCATGCAAAGTCTGATCTTCTTCAAAATAAGCAGAAGTTGTAAACACTGTCTTCCAGCTTGCTGCTTAGATGAGTCAAATGGAAAATGGAAGAATCCCAACCCGCACAGATCGTATCAGAGGGGCACAAGGATGCACAACCGGCCTCAGAGAGTCAAGAAACACAGCTGCACTGACACTCCAGGTTTGCATGCCTTCAGTGCAACGGGAGGATGAGCGGGAACAGGCTGAGGAAGAGATCACTTTGTTCCTCTCCTAGGAAAATAAACCAAAGCACTCATGAAAAAAGTTGCATTTTCTGCCTTTCACCCCCATTGCAGGGAAACTATTGCAAAAAAGCCCTTCCAAGAATGTCTGATCAGCTACATGCAGCAAGCTTTGCACAAAGAAAGCTTATTACTCCAGTCCTGAATCTGAACATAAGAAAATCCTCTCATTTCACTTTTCTTCTTGGCAGATGAAATTTTTCCACCCTGTTAATTTCTTCCCCAGCTCACACTCTGGAAGGAATTGCCTGCCACAGAGAAATAGAAAGCAGATCTGAAACAGCAGCAACATTTGCTGTATTTTAATGTTCTTTGTAAGAACCTGCTCATCAGCATTAGACTCCTGTAAGGAAGAATTTGAAATGACGCAGAACTGCTCCATTTTGGATGATTAACTCCGTAACACTCAGAAAGCTTCTGTTTTCCTGTTGTGACAGACTTGCTTAAGGGACTTAATGCAAACGACTGCAAACTCACCTGTGTTAACAGCATGAACGCATTATCTGCTCGGAGGTTTTTTTTAAGAAACTCCACACAATGAGCTTCAAGGGCTGGAACTGCATATTTTTTAGCTGTGTAAAGCGTTGTCATAACAGTCTCTGGTCCAATCTGAACTTCGTCTGAATAAAGAAATCTGAAAACATGCAAGGAAACATTGCTGTGGTGAAGCCAGTAAGAGAACACGGTAAAGACCCTTGCAATTCATAAAAAACATGCTTGTGCTTCTGCGCATCATCCTGGCCCCATTTCCTATACTCATTTTCACACCCTTTCTACTAACTGGTTTACCAAGGAGAAACTTTTTTATTTTTAAATTACACACTCTTTTACAGTGGAACTTTTAATTAATTAAATAGCTGGGAGATCTGCTGAAGCACCTCAAACTGCCTAGCATCCCACAACCTGGGGATGCTTATGCTAGGCTAGAACAGTCTCTGGCCAAGTGCACCCCTTAAAATTAACATTTTTGACTGTTCAATTAGACTAAACAAAGACAAAAATCCAATCCTGCCTATTTCAGAAGAGAAGCTCCATTTTACACACTAATTCAAAAGTGATCAGAAGCGCTCATATGTATACATCCCCTGCAGATGAGATGTTTTCTCCATACCCCACTTTCCCCTCATCTCTTTGCTTTATATACTGAACTGTTTCGTTTCGTTATACAGCTGTTAAAATACAGCACACAGCGTAACTTCAGCATAAAGAAGGAGTTCATTGCGAAGAAAAACAAGGACTGCCATGCTGCTAGCAAAGCATCAGCCTTCACTGTTAGGCCAAAACAAGGAAGTACATTCATACTGCATGGAAAAACAAAGGTCTTCATAGGAAGCCTGACCGAGCCGCCTCATACCCAAGCATGCTGCTTAGAGACAACAGGAGCTGACAGGCTGGGTTCAGTAAAACCAGTTACACGCTTAATGTTAGTCCTAAGCACACGCAGAGTTTTTGTTTACTGTTTTTCCTTTAGCCAGTCGAGCATTTGCCAATCAGGATCTGAAAGGCCTGAAGCACAGAGGTGTAATATTAAGGGTGTTAACTGTGCTCGACAGTCCTATTCCACAGGATCCTTTGGAAACTCCAGCAATTTCCTCTCCTGGGTCTCTCCAAAGGCGGCACAGTAACACGTCATGTGGCCGCTGTTCCTGGAGGCTCCACACAGCAGCAAGGCTCTTCTTGGGGGATGCCAGGCTGTGTCCCTGTCTGGAGGGACTTGCTGCAGAGCAGCAGCGGAACTCTCGGTCCTCTAGCTGGAGAGGGCCAGGATGCAATTCAGGGAAGCATAAACAGGGGGATTCAGAGGAAGGGAAGCGCTCTCATTGCTGCTGAAAGCAGGCTTTTGTGCTGCTCTAGAGCATCTGCTAATAACAGCATCAAGCCACGGGCTCATGAATGCGTTTTGCACACATCCCTTCACCAGTCCTATTTTCACTAAGTAATCCTTTTTATTACAAGATTAAAAGAACACAGTTGCTCTAAAAACAACTAGTTCTATTTACTGCAATGACTATGTTACTATTTACTTTTGCGGTAGTCCAAACAGTGTGTGCTGAAAGGGATAACAAGAGGCTCAAACTGTAGAAAAAGTATAATATCAATTTAAAAGATTTAGATTATAAGCCCAGACATTCAAAACGTTCTTTGGTTACCGTAATAATAATAAAAGGATCTCTTATGCAATTACAGCAGACCTATTAAAGGCCACTAGCCCACAAACACAATCTAGTGTCCAGGAGGGACCTTCCGCTGAACATCCCGAATGGGCACTTTGTCCTTTGATAAGCTCCTGATCCTACAGCATTAGGTCACGGCTTGGACCAAGTCCAGAGACAGATGCAAGGGTCAGCTGCAATTCCAGATCAGTGTTCGGAGGGACCGGCTTCACTCTAGGAAGGTTCATACCATGTACTCGATAAGCTTCCTACTGGAAGGCAGCACCCAAACTTCCTTTGGCACAGTTAAGCTCTGAGCATTTTAAAAGTGACAGTTCAATTCTAGATTTAAGCATCTAAGACATCACTGGATCATGGGCACAGCCACTGTAGCGTAACTGCAAGCTTTAGAGGCACTGTGATAATCCACACACAATTTCTCCTATACAAAATATAAAACATTTCTGTTGAAATCCACCCAGATTCATCACTTTAGTCTTTTCAGATGATGGTTCTCTTCCAAGATTTATTGTTTATATAAAGTGCTGAAATCTCAGCACTGGCAGGGAAACATGACTTTGCCTCTAATTCACTCAGTATTTTAGCCTCACTAAGTTTTAAAGATAGATACTAACTCTGCACTGCAGGGAGATCTACCTGGCTGATAGAGTCATACACCAATTAGAGGGATTCCCCATGTGCCAGTGTCTGGTTTAAAATGAGCCAAAGGGGAGGGGAGCTGGGGGCTCCCTATTATTTCTGGCCTCTCGTTCTAGCAAAGATCAATTTTAAAATCCTCTAAGATAGCACAGCCGTGACCAAAGCACTTTTTGAAGGTAAAGCAAAAAGTGTGCCAAAGCTATATATAGTCATTGTTCCCAATAGGAAGCAAGCGGGGAACATGTCAAGAGCACAGGACTGGAAACCCCTGATAGTAGGTTACAGAAATCCTATAGAAACGGGACAATGACTTTTCAGCATACATTCAGGATTGCTGCTGGATGTTACACAGCACCAGCCGAGCTTAAAGAAATCGGTGAATAGGATGTTACAGCCCCTTCCTCTACCTCCCCCCCAGCATACGCGCTTACAACGCAGGCTGTAAACGTAAATTCAAAATCAGCTCTCTAAAAGAGGAATAAAACACACACAAGAGGAGATATCACACAGAATATATGACACTGATTTCATGCTCTTTCTTACCTGTTACAACTTGCTCATTTGCCCACAACCTCCATGAGCTCCAAGTATTTGTAACTTACAGAGCTTTAAGAGGATTACTTTTCCCCACTTCTCTCAAATAGCATTTGTATCAAATCAAACCAATTCATGAATGAGAATTTATGAGACAGTGTCTGAAGAGGTATCAACTTAACTCCAAGGGCCAGCATGGGCACTTACTCCAATCTCTAACCAGAACACCTCCCACTGCTGCATCTGTGTGGTGTAACTATAGAATTTTAACTTTACAAAATTATAAAATTATCCAGTTTAGTTTTGGCCCATACTGCAGATCAGCAGCAGGAAGGGCACACTGATTTAGGTATTGCTAAACCAAAACATGAAGCATCAGATGTTTCTGTGCAGTAGCTGTGCACTCCTTTTACACAGGAAAATAGGGATTTAACACCAGAATTTAAGCACCCTTGAAAGATCAACAAACAGGCATTTCATTTAGAAGCTTAATGATCTCCACTCTACAAAATGGTTTGCTGCTGTCATTAAAAATATCCTCCTCTATAGCAGATCTGCACATTCCAGTTATACTGTACATTAGAAGCAGCTTACTTCAGCAGAGCTAGGAAGGCAGCAGGCTCCACATCAGGCAGCTCAATCTCTGTAGAAGTTGTGGCCATTCCACCATTAAACATCGCATCAAAGACTGCGCTGCCCACAGCCAGCACAAACCTAACATTAAAAAACAAACAAGGAAAAAAAACTTTATGTTAAACCATATTCACTTTCCAAAAAAGTCCCAGGGTAGCTGCTATTCCCCAAGGCCACCCCCAAGGATAGCAAATTGTTCATAGTGTTAAAGCAAAACCGTTTTGCAACAGAAGGGAGTTTCAGGCTTTCTGTTCTTTTACTGCAAGAACACCAAAGTCACAAGCAACTTCATTTTGAGCCTTGTCCCAGTATACAACACAGTAATGGTTCCCCAAAGACAAGTTTCTGTGCATCATGGAACAGAATACACGTGGCTGCTTTGTAAAGTCCTCATAGGATCTATGGACCATTCATGTGGTTGGAAAGGTAAGAAACAATAAAGTTAAGGAATTCAAGTTCTTCCAGTGAAGAGAGCCCAAGTCTCGGTGCAATTCCCCACAGTCAAATACTGAAAAGACAAAAAACTTGGCACTACACACTACCCATCCTCCCCAGACACCAGGAAGACATCCTTGGTGACCACACAGCAGTCTCTCAAAACATGCAAATTGCATCAGCAGCATCACCGGGAGCTGCGGACACCAGCACCTCCTGCAGCACCCAGCACGGGAGCTGCCTTCCCCAGGCACGCTGCCGCCTCCTTCCACGCAAAACCTGCTCCGGGCTTAGCCTCCCTCCAACCAAACTAGCACCGTTAGGTGCACACAAACCCTTTTCACACTGCTGTGAGTTTATGTGGTAATTAACAGCAAGAGGCATGTTATCAGCCCTAAAGAATTCAAGCAGGAATTCCCACAAACCAGGTTGGAGACCGAAAATAATATTCCAGCACTCCCATGTAAACAAGATGATTTCCCTCACTGATAAACACCAACTCCTATTTTAGGAGGAGGCACAGACCTGGGTTGCTGAGAGGCCTGTGCATGTGTAAGCTGCTCTACCTGCCTCATGTCTCAGAAAAGCCATTTTGAGAACTGTGTTTGAAAATGCAGATGAGTTTTTCCCAGGAAAACAATTCTTCTTCCTGGTGTCTGCAATCAAGCAACTCCCTGAAGTTAAATACAGCTCAGGCCACAAAGGTCACAGCACAGCAGCGCGGGGAAGCAGAAGAGACCAGGCTGCAGAAGCTAGAAAATTCAGGGGTTCTTGATGCAGCAGAGTTTGAGGCACACTTTGACAGAGAAGCATCAAGAACTGCAGGCAGAAAACCATACAGGACCGAAGGCACGAGACAGAAACCTTCAGTACTTGGGCCCCAAGGAAAGCCCATCATTAAAGGGAAATTTCAGTTAGATTTTGCTGCAGTAGGAAATGACACAGAGGCCTTTTTCTTTTCCTTTTAAACAAAATTGTTCATTTTCTTGCTTTTTACCCCCCTCCCATCCAGAGGAGGCCTTCCACGGATACAATAGAGCAAAGCACCGTGGACATGCCAGGCTTGTTTGCCATGACGGACTGTTTGGCTGACAAGCTGGGTTGTATTGTTTCTGATCGGTTAAGAGAGTAGGGACAAACCACAGTGGTTACCAAAAGAGTACACACATGCATATTTCTATCGAACAATTCTGAAGAAAAATGTCAAGAGCAAATAAAAAACCTTGTTCGCAATACTAGAATTTCCAGATGAAACAAAAATCGTTGTTCCTACAAAAGCAGTGATGGTGGCGAGACAACTGCAGGCATTATTTGCTACTAAAAATTAACATATATTAATTGCACTCTAAAATTTTCATTCTCACAGCCAGCACAGTATACATCCCCAATGAGCAGACAGCTTTCAGAAGCTATTTGAAAAGGGCATTCATTTAAAAAAACCTCTCAAATTTTTGCTTCCATTTCACTCAGGGACAAGTCAGCCTGATTTTTTTAAACTAATGAGCCCTAAAGGGACCCTCGTAGGTACCCAGAGATACACAGGACTCCAAATTTTAAGTTCCCTTAAAACATTAAGGAAATACAAATGTCAGAAAATCCCTCTCTTCACGAGATCTTCTTACTATTGCTAAAATGAACACTTAAAGCTATTCTAAAGACACTCCAGGAAAAGGAAGGATGTGGACCATTTCTCCTACACAGTCCAATAGTTTTCCCCAACTGTGCAGGTCTGCAGAAGGAAGAGATGGGGTTTGTTTCAGATGGCAGAAACACAACTATTAAGCCAAACTGACAGAGTAATAGGGCTTGTTTTGGTTTTCACCTCCTGTTTTCCAAAGCACTTTAACAACCGGCGCACAGCAAGCCTCTCTCCTAACCCCAAGGAGCACTGCTCGATGCAAACGTGCAACTCTCAAATACCCTAAAAGCTCAGCATAGTAACCAACTTTTGTCAGAGGAAGAATTCCAACAGAGGGTTATTTTTAAACAACGGCATGGTGACCAAACTGAAGTGGACTACTGAAAGGATGCAGAGAAATGATCAGAAGCAGAGCAGAAGAACTAAGAAAGCAACGCTTCATTTTTTGTCATTCTCTCTGCACGCGTAAGAATAAAAGTAAAGTGACTATCAGCAGTAAGAGTCACAGGAACTTCATTTGATTTGTCTTCACAAGGATCCAAAGTTGACTCCAAAAGCTTGTGAAGGCCCGCAAGAAAATGTCTTTCATTCTATTACTTACAGAATCATATCATAAAATGGTTTGGGTTGGAAGGGACCTTAAAGACCACCTAGTTCCAACCCCCCAGCCCCGGGCAGGGCCCCCTTCCCCCAGCCCAGGGGGCTCCCAGCCCCGTCCAACCTGGCCTTGAACCCTTCCAGGGAGGGGGCAGCCACAGCTGCTCTGGGCACCCTGGGCCAGCGCCTCACCGCCTGCACAGGGAAGAATTTCTGCCTTAGATCTCATCTAAATCTGCCCTCTGCCAGTTTAAAACCGGCCCCCCTCATCCTATCCCCACCCCCCGGACCCAGAGTCCCCCCCCACCTTCCCTGTCCCCCCTTTAAGCCCTGGGAGGCCGCTCGAAGGTCCCCCCGGAGCCTTCTCTTCTCCAGGCTGAACCCCCCCAACTCTCTCAGCCCGGCCCCCCAGGGGAGCTGCTCCAGCCCCCCCAGCATCTCCGTGGCCTCCTCTGGCCCCGCTCGAGCAGCTCCGGGTCCTTCTGCTGTTGGGGGCCCCCGAGCTGGCCCCAGCACTGCAGGGGGGTCTCCCCAGAGCGGAGCAGAGGGGGAGAATCCCCTCCCTCGACCTGCTGGCCACATTTCTCTTGATGCAGCCCAGGGCACGGTTGGCTTTCTGGGCTGTGAGTGCACGTTGCTGGCTCACAGGCAGTTTTCCATCCACTAATACTTCCCTGCCCTTCTCTGCAGGGCTGCTCTCCATCCCCTCCTCGTCCAGTCTGGATTTGTGCTTGGGATTGCCCCGACCCATGTGCAGGACCTTGCCCTTGGCCTTGTTGAACTCCATGAGGTTTGCCCAAGCTCACCTCTCCAGCCCGTCCAGGCCCCTCGGGATGGCATCCCTGCCCTCAGCGTGGCACCACACAGCTTGGTGTTGTTGGTGAGCTTGCTGAGGGTGCGCTTGGATCTGTCCATGTCGCTGACAAAGATGTTAAATAGCGCTGGGCCCAACACCAACCCCTGAGGAACACCACTTGTCACTGCTCTCCACTCGGACATGGAGCTGCTGACCACAACTCTGAGTACAACCACACAGCCAATTCCTTACCCTCCGAGTGGTCCTACTGTCAAATCCACATCTCTCCAATTTAGAGACAGAGATGTCATGCAGGATAGCGTCAAGTGCTTTGCACAAGTCCAAGTAGATGACGTCAGCTGCTCTTCCCTTACCCACCAGTGCTGTAGCCCTGTCACAGAAGGCCGCCAAATTTGCCAGGCACAATTTGCCCTTAGTGAAGCCATGCTGGCTGTTCATCAATCACCTCCTTATTTTCCATTTACCCTAGTAGTTTCCAGGAGGATTCGCTCCATGATCTTACCGGACACAGAGGTGAGACTGACTAGCCTGTACTTCCCCAGGTCTTCTTTTTCTCCCCTTTTTAAAAATGGGGGTTATGTTTCCCCTTTTCCAGTCAGCAGGAATTTCACTGGACCGATGAGTTGCTTCCTAACCATTAATTTTCACTGCTTCCTTGTTCACCTTGGCATCTCCACCTGTCACCCAGTTTAATTTGTATACCCAACAATCCTGCTCCCTTTCTAGGCACTACGGTAATACCAGTAATAAAATAAACCACTCAAAAACCACAACTATCCCGCTGCTGCATGCTACTTTGCTCCTCCGTCCGCTCCACTGTGGAGAAATCTTAAAATATCTATTCCAGAAGAGATGGCACAGGAACAGAGAGCAACATGTGACATGCTGGAGCTCAGTGAAACTGCAGGTTACAAGAAGTTAATAATGATGATCATTTGCTTGCTGCATCCTTCCAGTACAAGGAATAGAGACACTGGGTGAAACAAGCAGGAGGCAGGTTCAAAAACCCCCGGAAGAAGCTCTTCACAAGCAACCCCAGGAGCGGAGCACTGGGACACCTCAGCAACCAACGCCGCAGTTACTACAAGTTAATACACATCCAAGAAAAGACCGGACGAGCTCAGAAGAGAAACGCCTGGAAGCAGTCAAAAGCTTACTCAGACCGTCCCCAAGCTGCAGATCTCCCAGGCTGGAGTATACACTGGGGTGCATCACCACACACTTGCTCTGTTCCCTTTTGGGCCATGTTTTCTGTCCAATTAACAAGCTTAATTATCACACCCAAGCAGCTCCTGGTTGATGAGGGTTAGACACTTCTAATCTCACTGATGTTGCGTTCCATGAAGCAGATCTGGAAAAAGGCAAAAAAAACCCTTCCCTCTTACTGCTGGGCCTAATCAATGCCTTGACCTTGGCTATGTTAGCATTATGAAGCTTCATGACAGCCCGCTCAGTCCAGCATTTGTTAGCCTTGACATCAAAAAAACCTTAAGGCTGATCTATCTTCTTCATGGCTGATTCAGCAGCAAGAGGGAATGAGCTCAAGGCTCAGAGATCAAGCTTGCTCCAGGGTGCGCAAGCAACTTCTGGAGGGCCTGGAGCCTCCCAAAGGTGGAAAACATCTGATCTTCTCAGGGCTGCAGGTGCTTCACAGGACAAATGCTCAGAGATGAACCTTCAGTAGAACCCAGCACTGCCACTTATGCCATTTATCTACAAACAGGGCTTTCACACACAAAAAGAATGTTTGCTCTTAGCTGCTATGCAAGATATCTATTGTCTGCTTCTGTGGCTTTATACGAACTGCTGAACTTGCCAAACTCTCTTAGAAACTCACCTGAACCTACAGCTAGTCACACTCAGAAACCTCCTCCCTGCACCACCACCACCACGCGTGGACAGCATCACCTGCGATCACTCAGCATATGCACCATTTAACTACCTCAACCTACAAATAAGCCACTTCTGCTCCTTCCTGGAGGAGCCCAACCAGGGAGCAGCTGCACTGTCACCTCCAGCTCCTGCAGGACTGCAACTCTGACTATTTGTGCTAACCAGCTTGCTGCCAAAGCCAGCAATTTCTAACACACCACACAGCAAAATCAAAGATGACAAGTAAGATATTGCAGACCACTCCTCAAGGCACCACTAACTGCTGTCCAAGAACCTTATTCAGAATATACTCCTAGTGCAGCCACACTTCATACCTGGCCCAGTCTGAAAATTAATACAATAAAACCAGACTGCAGAAATACTTACCTGTTAACTGTGCACTATTTCAGATACTGCTGAAGCAATACAGTGCCTCCCAAATTAAATTAATGGTTGCTCTGCAACTCAATTCCAGAGCAGAGCATCTTCTTCTGTCAGGCTGCTGTGGGAGAACTGAACACAGAAGGGGTCTGGGTGGTTTTATTTTAAGCTCTCTGTTTCTGAAATAACTGCTGTACTTCATGAATCATCAGGATATCCCAACTGTAATATCATGCAGGCAAGTTTTACTAAAAATCTATATAATCCGTAAGTGGGATGTCACAGCATGACACACTCTATTCTATCTTTACCACCCAGAGCACCAGATGGATTTCAGAGCAATTAAGCAGCATCTCACTTTGGGGCTATTTCTTTTTTTAAGCTTCATTTATTTCCCATTTATTTCTGGGCTGAAGATTGCCCCTCCCCACCTAGCAAACCTAGTTCTCAGGACAGGAGCAAGCTTACTCAAATACTAATTAAGCTTCAAATTATAAAAGAGCAGAACTGACACCCTAACTGTTCAAACCAGCCTAGAACAAGCGTGTTTTGTTTGGAAAGCAAGAGAAAAAGGGAAATCTGAAGGGGGGACCCCAGGAGTGCGAGCACTGATGAGAACAGCAATAGTTTGAAACGGTTTGGAGCGAGGCTCCCTTTGCCGAACACCACTAATAACCAACAAGCCTTCCCCCACCCCCAATTAAAGCAGGTCCCGTCTTCGAGCAAGGATCTTGCAGTTCTGGGTGGTACAGCTGAGCAGCCCGGGAGGCACTTCCCAGAGCAGCGGGGTACGAGTGGCACACATCAATTCCCCGGAGCTGCCCCAAGAAGCAGCTGAACGTCATACACATCGGGTTTGCATTAGCCAGGTGGAGGCAATTCCCAGCACTCTTAAATGGCAGCTCAGCCTCCGATATTAACCTCACGCCCAGATGTCATGCTCAATACAGCTCTTCCAGAATTGTGGAGTTTGTTTTATAGCAGTGGATTACCCCCCCCCCAAACTGTAGGGCTTCAGAAAAGATTCAATAAAGGTTATTTTTAAAAGAAAATGTTGCTGCAGAAGTTTGGTTTCTCAAATCATTGCCCTTTGCTTTCCATCCCCAACACTCTCACCAATCCCTATTTCTGTCAGCAGACATCAGGCACTCTTGGAGACTATTCTTCCTCTCCTCCACCACCCACAAAACCAAGGATTGCTTCCAAGTGAGATCCAGGGATTTGGGTTCTTTCCCTGCTGTGCTTGCCCCGGTCACACCTACCCTCCAGGGAAAACATTCTCAGCCGAAAGCTGGACCCCGTCACCTGGCCTGGTAACCACAAGAAGAAACACGACATTGATCCGAGGGCCGGGACATATTTTTGGCAACTGCGACTGACCACACCGAGGGGCAAAGTCGCCTCCCAACGCATCAAAGACCAAACCGGAGGAACCCGCGCTCCAGACCCCGGTGCTGCCCGGCTCCCTCTGTCCCGCCGGGGTGGCCGAGGCCCGCGTGTCCCCGAGAGCTCAGCAGCTCCCTACGGTGGGTAAAACGCGGGGTGAAGGTACCCGAACCCCGCTTCTCCTTTCCTAAGGGAGACACAAAAACCCAAACCCTCTACCCCCCCCGCTCCCGCTGGCGCCCGGAGGGTGCGGGGGACCCCCAAACACCCCACAGCCAAACCCGCACCCAGCCCACAGCCTGCCCCAAGGCCCAGGACCCCCGACCGCCTCACAGGGGGCCCAGCAGGGCCTACGGGCCGCCCCCCGCGGCCTGGCCAGGCCGCCACGGGTCCCGCGGCACCCGCGCGTCCCCCCGCGGCCCACCCGGGGCTCCCCCGCGTGGGGCTCCCCACGCCCTCCCCGCGGGGCCCACCTGTGCGCGGGGATGCGCTGCGAGCCGCGGCCCTTCCCCACCAGGAAGTGCACGTCGCTGAGCACCTCGTTGTTGAAGAGGAAGGCGAAACGCTCCTGCACCGTGGGCTTGGTCGCCTGCCAGTTATAGACCGGCTCCCGCTGCAGCGCTCCGCCGGGGCCGCCCGCCCCCCCGGCGGCCCCCGCCGCCCCCGCCGCCGCCGCCGCCGGGCCCCCCGCGCCGCCGCCGCTCGCCGCCGGGTTGGCAGCGCCGCACTGGTTGTAGGTGAGGCCGGGAGGCGAGGGGGGGGCGCCGTTGGTGCAGGCGGCGGCGGCGGCGGCCGCGCCGTTGCCCGGCGGCGGCGGCGGCGGCTGCGGGCAGGAGGAGGAGAGGCCCCCGGGGCCCCCGCCGCTCCCACCGGCCGCCATCTTGTGCGGCGGAGGCGCAGGAGCGGGCGGCGCGGGGCGGCGCTGCAGCAGCACCAGCACCAGGAGCGGCGGGCGGGACACGGCGGCGGCGGCGGGCGGGAGGGGGGCGGCGATGGCGGCGGCGGCGGCGGCGGGGCGGGCGCCGGTGCTGGTGCTGATGCAGAGAGCCGGGCAGCAACGGCGCATGGGGCACGGCGCGGCGGCGCCGCCGGCCGGGCCAGGGGGGAGCAGCGGCGGCGGCGGCGGGGCGGGGAGAGGAGAGGGCGTGGGGCGGCGGGCGGGCGGGGCCGGGCAGGGCCGGGGTGCGGGGCCAGCCCTGAGGGGGATGAGGGGGCGATCCCTGAAGGACGGTTTGGGGGATGAGGGGGGGGGATCCCTAAGGGCGAAATCCCCGAGGAGGATGAGGGGGCGATCCCTGAGGGGAAAGAGGGGCCATCTCTGAGGGGCATGAGGAGGCGATCCCTGAAGGACAGTTTGGGGGATGGGGGGGTGGGATCCCTGAGGGGAAGTTTTGGGGGATGAGGCATGATCCCTGAGGGGAAAGAGGGGCCATCTCTGAGGGGCATGAGGGCGTAATTCCTGAAGGACAGTTTGGGGAATGAGGGGGCAATCCCTGAAAGGGAGCGAGGGGGGGGATCCCTAAGGGCGCAATCCCCGAGGGGGATGAGGGGCAATCCCCGATGGGCACTTGGGGGGGGGTGAGGGGACAATTCCCTGAGGAGCAGTCTGGGGCAGGGAGGGGGCGAGGGGAGCAGTCCTTGAGGGGCAGTTTTGGTGGGTGATCCTTGAGGAGCAGTTTGGGGGGGTTGAGGCCATTCCGTGAGGGGGGTCATGCTGGGTGGGATAGCGGAGGGGGCCCGGAGAGCAGTTTGTGGAGGGATGAAGAAGCGGGGGGGCAATACATGGGGGGGAGATTGGGTATTAGGGGGCTGAAAGGGCTCAGTGCTGGGGAGTGAGGAGCAAGGGAGCTTTGGGCCGTGGAGGGGGGAAGGAACATGGGTGACTCCCTTCCTGCTCTCACAAAACAACCTTTCCTCTAAAGCAGAGACCCGAGCCTATGCCATCCCCAAGACACCCCGATTTGTGCCCAGCAGTTCCTCAGAATAATTAGCTCAGAGTGACAGGCCGCTGCTGCTGACACCGGGGCTGGAGCACCACATTACCAGGAGCACTTAAGGTGTTACCCTGCACATACCAGGAGCCACAGCTCTCCCCAGGGACAGGCTGATCCGCGCTGGCCTGATCCTTCGCCTGGCCATGCGCTGATGCCACCAAGATCCTGGAAGATCTGCTTGGCAGGCAGGCGCGCTGGCCAGCGGGTCCCCACTGATGACCATCTCACCAGCCGGTGTGAGTTGGAAAATGGTGTGGGGGGCAGGAGGAGGCTGAAAAGCAGAAGATTAATTAAGAGGCTGTGCCACTGTCTTGCTGTGATCTCAGTAACTGAACCGTTAAAGTGTTTTATTCTTCAAGGGGTAATTACATTCCCCCTTTCTCTATTATCCGTCCCCTGATCTGTGTTCAGCTCTTGGAGGTGCATGCACATGCATTCAGGATCAAATGTGTGGTCCTTGATTCAGCACGTTCAATGAGGAGATGTCCTGGCTGCCCCTTCTGTTTTCTGTGCCTTTGCGTTACAGTTTCTGTAATACACAAAGACGTTCTCTTTCTATTGATTCAAAGCTCTCAGACCCTTGTATAGCTCAGGGATCCACTGATTAACCACAACAGACGCTGCTGTGGCACATTGCAGCAGTGTTGTTACACCACTAATTTTGATCAAGAGCTTCTGACCTGGTTTTGTATCATGTTATCAGATACCTGTTTCTGCTGCCTTACGTGCCAGCGGGTTTCTGCTGCATTTTTTGGAGCTGTGTTACGCTTCACGTGGACGAGTTTGGCAAACCCCTGTAGCCACAGCTATGCCGGGGTACGGAGCTGGCCGTCCTACTAGTCCCTTCTGGCATCTGGCCTGTGCATGCAGGAATGAGCAGGAGCCTTTAGAGGAACAGTTCTTTTTTTCCTGTGAAATCTTTCTTTTATTAATAATAACCAAACATTAAATACAGATACATTCTCCTTTAAAAACACCACATCCTTTTGTCTTTCACGCCATTTGCATAGCACATCACAGACTCACACCCTCTTGCTGGCTGAGCTGCTTCCATGCATTTCAGCGTCACCCTTTTTACTCACAAATGTGATTATCTGGCCGCCTGCCCGGTCCCCGCTCAGTCCTGTCTGCCTTGCGGATGCTTCGTTTGGGCCATAAACGTTAGAGGGAGCTAAAGACTGCTGCGTGCGCCCAACCGGGCGGCTGGGGGGGTTGGACGCTTCTGATTCCTGGCAGGGGTGGCCTGCAGCCCCGCCGCAGGGCGGGTGGCACGGCTGGCTGGCCCCGCAGCCCTTCGGCTGCAGAACGGTGACCGGGAGGGTCACCAAGAGGCGCCTGCCCTGCCCGGGAGGTGCAGGGGATGGGGATGGAAGGGGGGGTGGAGGCCGAGGCCTCTCTGTCACAGCGTTCCCTCCTCCCAGATCCCAGCAAATCCCCAGCTGGGCCACCCGTGAGAAGCAGTGGCTGTCTCTCCGAGGGGTCAATGCGCCTGCCAGGGAGGACGAGCGCTTCTCCCGCACGCGGGGAGGAGATTCGACACCCACCGGGGCGATACAGCGCCGGCAATCCCTCCCGGGGCAACGCCGATCTCCCCGGCACCGCCACCCTTCTCTGTGCCTTACTCACCCTGCCAGCCCTGCAGCGGCTTGTTAGACAGATCCGATTTATTCGGCACGTGATGAAGTAAACAAGGATGATTTGTATTGCGGCAACAGCCAGAGGCTCAGCTCAGGACCAAAGTAAAGAGACACAGCTACAAAAATACGAATGGATAATATGGATAGCACAGAAATCTGCGTGGGACACCGTCGCCTTGGCTCTGTGGGATGAGGCGAGGTGTTTGCTACAGTGTCCCCCGACCAACACAGCAGCGAGCAGCAGTGTAATAGACAAAAGAAATACAGTCAAAGAGTAGTGCCATATGGGAGACTTTAACAGCCCAAAACTAAATCTGAGAACAAACGCTCCTAAAAATGGCACGGCGCCGTTATTTCTGGATCTGATAGCCAACAGATTTCTTCACAAATCAGGCACTCAGGAAAAGGCAGCACTATTTTAGATGGGGTAATCGCAAGATGATAAAAAGCGTAACCACAGCAATAACTGTGGGTGGGGAATTGGTGTGATTCAGTTGGTGTTAGATGAAGGCTGACCAAATACAGGGCTGGAAATAAAGGGTCTTGGTTGCACAAGGGCAAGCTGTGAGCAGCTGGGATGAAACTGGTGCGACTGGACTGCTCAGAGTTTGATGGCGGAGGACACCTGGACTTTCTTAACCTTGTAGAGGCAAAAAAATACGTTTGGACTATGTATTCCAAGCAAAAGCTAGGAGCGCGGAGGTGGCTTTTACTTGGTTGAGCAGGTCACTTCAAAGGAGTTACGTTAAGACGAACTGAAGCTCCGAGGGGGACTGCGTGGCAAAGACAGAAGCATCCTGGGTGTTGGGTAAAGTGGGACCAGATGAGAAGATGAATCACGAGGCCCGTGACCCGCTGCAGCCACGGGCAGCAGCGGAGTCTTGAAGGGCACAGCCGGAGATGCGCTCCCGGCCTTCGGGAAAACCTGACGCTGCTGCTCTCCCGCTGACCGACCGCAGCTCCCAGGGCCTGTGCAATTCCACCCGGAGCCGAAATCCTGTGGGAAAGCCAAACCTGCCCCCCGTGGCTCTCCAAAAGCCACACTTCCCCATCCCAGCCCACAGACACGGGGCTGACCGAGGCGTTTTCCAGCGGGGAGGAGATGGCCGTGCTGTGCCGTGCTGGTGCGGCGGGACCCGCCTGTCGCTGGGTGCTCAGGGGCAGCACTGGGCCGCAGGCAGGGCCGGCCCTCTGCGCTCCCTCAGATGGCTACAGAGGGGGAACCTGCACACCTACACACCAACCACAAAATGACACCAGAATGGCACATTCTACAAAAAAAAAAAAAAAACAACACAACCCTGACTTGGTTTGTTTTGGTTGCCTGGACAGGAGTGGTGATTCACTGCAAAATGCACAGTGCTTCATACCTTCTCTACCCATCCTGTAAAACATTTTAAAAGCACAAAAAGGAAAACTAACCTTTTTTTTTTGCTCCAAAACAGCCCTTCACACCTTCCTCTCCACACGCCCTGCCTGGTTTTGGGGCTCACTGACTGTTTAGGAGACCAGTCTGGGCCTGAGGGTATGCATGTTCCTCACTTCAGGCTTTCTTTTGAGCAGCTGGGGAATCAAAACATCGGCTAACCATCCGGGGGGGTCATCTCCTCTCACCCATATGGCCAGGCTTAGACCCAAAATACTGACGACACCTCATCTGCCCCCGTGCCCTGCGCTGGCACCGGGCGCGACCCCACCAGCCACCCAAGCGCCGCGGCCGCTCGCACGACTTGACGTCTCGATTAAACCCGGAGAACGGGACAACTGACACGAGCCACCACGTCACCCAAAGCCCGACCGACCCGCTCTGGCACCCCGGCCACCCCAGCAGCTCCGCAGTGGCCCCTTTGGGCTCGCGGTGCCACCGGGCCAGCGTGGGCAGCATCGCCGCCGCTCCTGCTGCTGGGCTTTTCTCCAACGCCAATCGACGCAGACTTATTTATAGCGCCCTTATCCCAGCGGGAGAGCCTATTTTGGGCTGATGCTCAAGCACCAGAGCAGCGCAGGTTATTTTAACCCAGTGTGGGTTTATTTTCGGAGCTGCCCTTTTCCGCACGTGCTCCGAGATGGTTTCCAACTACCAGGCATTTTCTGGGGGGTGGTGAAGAAAAAGGGACCACGCGAAGAAATTTTACAGAGATTAAAACCTAAACTAGCCTCTGCAGCAAAGCTCCCTTTGACACAGCATCTGCTTGGGCTCTACCCAGCATCTGGGAAGGTAGATCGTGGGCAGAACAGGCCATGAGAGAACGGGTTTCTGGAGCAGGTAGTTCAAGGGCCAGCGAGACAAGATGCAAGAGGGGAAGAAAAGAAAAGCCAAGAGCTGGGTGCTCCTAAAATTTCCAGGGTCACAATGTGGTGGCCCCAGGCACAGGAGGGAGCAATAACTTTGTTCACCAGAGGCAGGAGCGGCGCAGTGGGGTGGGATATGCTCCTTCTCTCTCCTCCGCGTCCAGGGGATCTCAGCTCTGGTCCCACCACGGACCATCCCGCAGACCCCCCGGGGTCGCCCTGCCTGGATGCAGACGCTGCAGGAAGCAGCTGCACCGTTCCTGGAGCCTGCGAGCACAGACTTCGGGGCAGCGAGCGCCCGAGCTCGCCTCCCCAGCCTCCAGGTTGCAGGGCCAGCTGCTGGTCGGCTGCAGAGCTCGCAGCCCCATCCTCCAAAACGGGGGTGCCACTGACAGGGCTCTGCCAGGACAGCAGCACCAGGTGGGGTGTCCCCACCAGCCCCAGCAATGACACCCAAAGGGCTCACAGCTCCAGCCCCCAGCGTGGCAGCAGGACTGGAAAACTTACTTACCAGGCCCCAAAAACCCTTAAAAGTAAATAAATAAATAAGTAAAATGTCATCCCTGCCCTTCTCCCCCATCCTGAGCACCAGGCTCCGGTCTGCCCCTATCCCAGCTCCCCACCACACGCTTTCCTCGTGCCTCAGTTTCCCCCCTCTGCAACCTGACAGATAAAGGCGGGGGGGGGGAAGCTGAAGTGGGGGGGGGCGGCCCCCCCAGGCCGCTGGCAGAGCAGGGAGCCGCACCGTGCCCCTCCAAACCCCGGCCAGGGATTCGGCAGATCGCAGCCCTGGGAAGAGTGAGTCAGGGCCTGAGCCAGTGCCAGCCCCTGGTCCCGGCCCCCCAAACCCCCCTCCCTGCCCCCCCCGGGACCAGCAGCCAGCTGGGAAGGAACTGGTGGGGGACAGGGAAGGAGAAAGTGGGGGGGATGCCTCGGGAGTGCTGGGGGGGCTCGCTTTCCCCCAGCCCCCCGTGCTGCCCGGCCTGCCTGCAGCCACACGCCAACCACGTAGGTCTCAATGCATTTTTATTAAATTCTTACAAAACAGAATACAAAATTCTGGCATCAACAATTGTTATAAAGGAAAACTTCAATTCAGCTGTATCAGTTCACCTGGTACATACAGTAAAGTGCTTGTTTTTTGTGTGGTTTTTTTTTTTTTCCTTTTTTGTCTTTTTTTTTTTTTGTGTTTTTTTTTGTTTTGTTTTGTTTTTTTTTTTCATTTTTATTCTCCAGCCAGCCCCCAAGCAGAGGCTGCCATTGTACAAACCAACAGTGCGTTAACATGACTCTTGTCGAACCAGCTTTGGCAGTCTTCATCAATTGTAAAGTGGAGAAAGTTTCTCCTGTTTTGATAAAAAGAAGTTAGCTTCACAGTAAACGTTTCTAACCAGTTCTAAGTCGAGTTAGTTGGCTGAAGGAAGGGCGGGGGGGAAGGAGAGGAAGCCAAAATGCTTAAAATTTCCAGTTTAAAAAAAAAAAAAAAAAAGAAGTCTTTTTGAAGTTGGTTTCCAAGACAGATGCTCTATGGGTGGAGGGAAAGGCTTTGAAAGAAGAAGAGGAGGAAGAAGGGTGTTGGTGAGAGGGGGGTTAGGAGGTGCTGGACCGCGGGTCTGGGAGCATCTGTCTGGAAAGCACCCCGGGAGAGGCGCTGGCAGCGGGGAGGGGGTGCCCAGCCCCGGCCCCAGCATCTCCCCAGCCGAGCCCCGCGCAGCGCCGGGGCACCCAGGGCACCCCACCACCACCCCGAGTCAGGGCTACAGGCGGCTCAGTTGATCCCCCAAGCTCTAGAGGCATTTAAGGATCCTCTATAACCACAGGGACCCTGCCACGCACGCCGTCCCCCCCCAGGAGTGCCGGGTCCGCGGCCAACCCGAACCCCCCCCAGCCCAACCGCGAGGCCAAGCAACCGGCCAAGAGCTCGGATGTTCCCCGGCCCATCCAGCCCCTCGCTGCAAACCCCTGCAGCATCGCCCGGGGCTGCCCACGGGGGACGAGCTCCTGCACAGCCCCGGGTCACCCAGGCCACGCGCCAGCCCTCCGGAAAGCGTGTGTGTCCACGTACATAAAAGGGATAGGTCTTACGCGTGGGAAGAGGGGGAAACGCTGTTTGCCAACAAAAGCACGGGGGATGAAAAAAAAAAAAAAAAAAAAAATTTTAGAGATGTTCCCCCGGCTACCCCCTTCCCATGATTTCTTTTTTTTTTTTTTTTTTAAAAAAAGGCTGCAGCGTGCAGCATTAACAATAGCTTTCACAATACCAGCTCAAGGCATCGCGTACTGTACATCATTCAAGTATTTCTTAATATAAGACAACAAGGAATTATCTACAACTGATAAAACAAAATAAGCTATAAAAAGTAACAATGTACAATCGAGATGGTTTTGTTTTTTTGTGGTGGTTTTTTTTTTTTTTCCTTTAAAGGAGGCCTCTCCAGGGTGTCCCAGTGCCTGGGGGGGGGGGGGGGGGATCTCCCCTCACCGCTGCCCTGCTCCTCCCCACCCCACGCAGTGGGAGCGGGGGCACCCAGGGGAGAGGGCAGATCGCAAGTGCGAGGCATTTTTTGGGGGGGGGGGAGGAAGGGGGGGAAAAAGGGAAGTCACCCTCCCTCCCCGCTGGCGCCGCTTGGCAGAATGGCCAGGAAGGGCGAGAAAAAGACGGTCCCTGCCCCAAACTCCATCAACACCCGAGATCATCATCTCCCAAGATAACTCACACACACCTCCCTGAAACAAAAAAACAACATATATTGCATAGTATTGCTGTCAGCAGTCTTAAAATAAAAAGAACTTTTTTTTTTTTTTTTTTTTTGGAGACAGTGACTGCCCCAGGGAAGTCTCTTCCCCAGCTCAAAGCAAGCTCCCAAAGCCTTCACCTGTGCACACGATGGGCTGAGGCTGCTTTTTCAAAATATAAAGCTCAAAGCATTGAGTTGGAAGGGAAAGGAGTTTGCTAACAAAGGGGGCAGCCTCCCTCCCGGTGGGACAGGGGGGGTGGGTGCAGCCCCGTGGCCATGCCCACGGCGGGGAGCAGGTTTGCTGCTCTGGGGGGGGGGTGCAGGGGGGGGGTCTGGGGGCACTGCTCGCTCGCCTGGACGGATCCAGCCCAGGGCCTCGGCCCGATGCAGCACCCCAAGTCCTTCCCCCGCGCTCATTCCCTCCCTTCCCCGAAGCGAGCTCCGAGGCACAGGCACCGCTACGCGTGCAGACGCGTGACACGAACACGCAGGAACGTGGACGCACACGCGCGAACACGCCGACGCCCAGCTCTCGCCAGCCGCCCGGCAGCCCCGGCACTGCCCCGACCCCAAACCCTCCGGCCCCACATCCCCAGCCCTCCCCACGCTGCCGCCCTTGGGTGCTGCCGCCAGCCCGGCCGCTCGCCCACCAGCACCCCCAGCCCCTCCTGCCACAGCAGCCTCGGGGCCAGCCCGAAGCCACGCCAGGTCACGCTCCCGACGCTCGTGAAGGGGCGTCTTTCACTTTCCCTAGAGCATCCCACTCTTCCCAGAGGGGTTTTAATTTGGCTGCTCTGGCCCCCCTGGAGCCCTCCTCCCCCCTTGCACCTCCACGAGGGCACAGCCACTAGCAAGCAGCCCCCTCCCTAAGCAGGGGTGCAACACCCGACCCAGCACAGGAACACAGCCCCAGACGCCTGCGCATCCCCCCAGCTCTGACCTTACCCCCGGGGAGCCACCGGCCGGAGCACGGGAGGAAAGGAAGACATTTCTCCGTGCCCTGTAGAGAAGCACAGCTAGCAGATTAAAACCAACAATAATTAAAAAAAAAAAAAAAAAAAAGAAGAAAAAAAAGGGGGTGAATAGCTTATTCTGGAAGCGGGCTGCCGAGGAGAGAAGGCGGCTCGGGGCGCTGCTCCCTCGCTGGCACCGTCTCTCCCCGGTCCGAGCGGTTCCCTGCACAACGCCCACCACGTCCCCAAGCGCGGGACGGAGGGGTTCCCCGCACCCGGGAGGTGCCTCCCAGACCCCCAGGAAAGGGGGTTTTGTGGGATCTACCCCAACATCGGAGAAAGACCTGCAGCTCTGAAGGGAGGGACGAGGTTAAAACGCGACTCCCGCTGTTGAAAATGCGACCGAGGGTCTTTTGTTCACAGTATGAAATGAGCTGAAATCGTCAAAGCAGCCGCAGATACAAAGAGTCCTTTGGTGTTGGGGAGGGGTGAAAAAAAAGAAAAAAAGAAAAAGTCAGAGGAGAAACCAAGAGTCGGGAAACAAAAGTCCGTGTGTCTGTCAGATGTCCTTGAGTGTGCCCTGGGTGAAGCAACCTCACGCTTGATTTAATACGTTAAAAAATAAAAGATCTTAAACAAATCCTCCCACCCCCAGACCTACAAGATCAGCAAAACCTTGGAAACCAGCCACAGGGACGAGTCCTGATCTTGTCACTAGCCAGAAACGGTGGGGTTTTTGGGGTGGGGGGGTGGGGGGGGAAGAAAGAAAGAAAGAAAGAAAAGAGAGAGGAAGGGGACATGGGACACAGCAGGTCCGAGGGGCACAGCTCAGGCTTGGTCAGCCACCAGGACCAGGGGGGCCACCAGATGCTGCCCGGCGGCCACCGCCTTGGCCAGGCTGCTCTTCTGTCGCCGCTTGGCCAGCTTGGACTCGGAGGGGGGGGAGAGCTGCATGGCCCGTGAGGTAGCTTTGATGATGATGGGTCGTGCTTCCTCCTCCGCCTCCTCCTCCTCGTCCTCGTCGCGCCGCGTCAGCTGGCGGTTGACGGCGATGGCCTCGGCGGCGAAGGAGGTGAGCTCTTTGGCACTGCTGTTCCTGCGGGGAGGCAGGGGCTCAGGGTGGGATGGAGGGAGGGTTGGGGTCAAATATCAGGGTGTCGTGTGTGTCCCCCCCCCCCCCCCCCCCCCGCCTCGCGTGCATGCCACGCCGGACTGGTCAGGCACGAAAAGCCACGGCTCAAACCCAAATCACAAGCTGCAACCGCTGCCCAGACAGAAGGAGCTGTGGCAAGAGTGGAGAGCAGCCCGCAGGAGAGAGAAGGCAGGATTTGGGGGGGGCTGAGATGTGACACCCCCCCGCCACATCCCCAGGGCCACCCGCACTCACCTCTGCAGGATGATGGGGGTCGGCAGGGTGTTATCCGGGGCGCACTGCAATGAAGAGCAGCCGGTCAGAGCCGAGCACCCCGCGGCAAGGGGGGGGGGGGGGGGGTGTGTCCCCACCCTGGCTCTTTTGGGAGCGGAGGAAGGCAGCACTCACCCCCTGCACCCAGGGGTGCTCCAGGACCTGGGCTGCGCTGAGCCGCTTCTTGGCATCTCTCACCAGCAGCTTGGAAATGAGGTCTTTGGCTCCGAAGGAGATGTGCGCCCAGTCCTTGTCGGGAAACTCGTACTTCCCCTCCTGGATGCTCTCGAAGAGCATGTTCTGGGGGGGGGTGGGGAGAAATAAAAAGGGCTGAGCTGGGAGCGGGGCTGCCAAACCCCGGCAGCGGGTTTTGGCGATGTCGGGGTCCCCCCACGTTACCTGGCAGGTGTGGCACGCCTCGCCCCGGTCCCAGCCGCAGTCGGAGCCGCAGTGGCCCACGAAGGGGGGGTACCCGCTCAGCATGATGTACAGGATGACACCCAGGCTCCACAGGTCGCAGCGCTTGTCGTAGATGGACGCCTCCTCGTTGAAGGCTTCCACCACCTCCGGGGCCATGTACTCGGCGGAGCCGCACTGCGGGGAGAGGGGAGGGGGGGGGAAATCCATGGGGCAGAGCTGTGCCGGCTGAGGGGACTTGGGGGGGGGGGGGGGGGGGGGCAGGTCCTGCCAGAACGATGGGGCTGCACCCCCCTGAAATGAGGGTGCAGATGTGGCTGCTTGCCAGGTTTGCTCCCGGCCGGGCCGATCACCCTTGTTGGGTTTCCCATGGCGCGGGGGATGACGCACCCCCCCCCAAAAAAAAAAAATAAATTTAAAAAAGAAAATAAAACCCAAAAGCCCGAAGGGGTGGCAGCAACCCCCTCCCCCTGGGTTAACCCCATGGGGCAGCAGCGGGGAGGCCGGACTGAACTGGCTCAGTGGGGCCACGTCCATCCCATCGCCTGGGAGCGGCCGCAAAACACCGCGGGCAGGCAGCGGGCGCTGCCTGTTGCTCTGCCTGTTGCTCTGCCTGTTGCTCTGCCTGTTGCCCCCCTGCCTGTTGCCCCCCGGGCCGCGGTGCCGGAGGAGTTAACACTGATGCAAGGAGAGGCGAGAGCCAGCGGCCGGTTCCCCATCGCTCCGGGACTCTGGGGCTTTCCAGCCGCACGTGACCCGCAGCCCACGCGGGCCTCGTGACCAGGGGAGAAAAAAAAAAAAAAAAAAAAAAAAAAGCTGCAGCCAGCAGATAATCACCCCGGAACGTAACGAGAGGCCTCCTAACGAGAGGCCTCACCAGCCCCAGCAGCTGATGCCACCGCAGGAAAGAAAGAAAAAAAAAAAAAAAAAACCAACAAAACAACAACAACAAAAAAAAAAAATCACACACACCAAAAAAAAAAAAACGAACCCCAACCCCAAAACAAAACCCCCAACCAGCAACACTGTGCAGCAGGGCTTTAACCCTGCAGGGACTGGGGCGGCTGCCCCCCCCCCCCCCCCCATTGCTGAGACCAGGAAAACTTGAGGCACCTCAGAAATTCAGATCCTGCCCCAGGAGGAGGGGAAATATGGAGGCATGAGGGGGCGGGGGGGTTTTGGCCCCCCACCTCTGCTGTTGTGCACCCCCCCATCAGAAGGGTTCTGCCCTTCCCGGCAAGTGAGCGCCCCAAAAACACCGGGGTGCAGGGCAACACCCTGCACGGGGCCGGGGGGGCACGGGGAATGACATGACCTGCTGCTGGTGATAAAGGGGAGCAGGGCCAAGGGGGGGGGGGGGGGGGGGGCAGGCGCAGCATCCCCCCAGGAGGGTGGGACGGCTCCCTGCAACACCGGGGTCACCCCAGAAGCTTTTGGGGTGTCGACCCTGCAAGGCTCCCAAGCATCCTGCAGCGAGGGGGGGGGGGGACCCCAGCCCCCCAGCCCCCTCTCAACCCACAACTGGGGGAATCACGGCAGCCTCCCCAGCCCCCCCCCCCCCCCCCCCCCCCCCACCACCCCAAGCCTGACCCACTTCTCCCCGCGGCCGCCTCCGCCGGGGCTGGCTGTTGCTAAGGCTCTCGGCAGCCTGGGCTGTGCGCCAGCCCCCCCCCCCGCACCCCCCCCTGCATTATGTAACCGCATCTCACCCGCCACCGCGGGGCTGGGGGGGGGGGGGGGGGATGGACACACACACGCAGCGTCAGCAACAGGAGCAATGAGCAAAAGGGGGGGGTGTCCACTCACAGCCCCGGCCCCAAAGCCTGCGGGGAAGCTGGGGGCCCCCCCCCCCCCCCAGGGACAGCACACACACCCCCCCCCCCCCCCCCAAACCCTTGGGGCTTGCACACTTACCGGGGTGAGCAGCTCCGGGGTGGAGATGGGGGAGCAATCGCCGTTGAGTTTGATGCCGCTTCCCAGGTCAAAGTCACAGATCTTCACTGGGGAGACCTGGGGGGGGGGGGGGGGGGGAGTGGTCAGTGGCCACCCCCTCCCCTCCTCCAGCAGCCCCCCCGCGGGGGACCACAGCCTTGCTTTCACAGCCCAACTAACGCCTGGTCCTGTCATCCTTCGCAACCCCCCCCCCCGCAGCCCCACAGACACCCACCCCCCCAGGGGTCACCCCCCCCTTGCACCCACCCCCCCGGCTGCTCCCTGCTTACCTGGTCCGGGCTCTCACAAAGAATATTCTCTGGTTTTAGATCCCTGTGTGCAATTCCTGGGGGGGGGGAGGAAGAGAAGAGATCATGAGGACAAAAATCCCCCTCCTACAACACCTCCAAGGGGAAAGGTTCGGGGGTGGCACACACGGACCCCTCCCTCCCCACCCCCCCCAAACCACCACCTGCGTTTGTGGCAAAGGGCAAAAAATTACGGCTGGCCCCGAGTCCTGGCCAAACCGGAGGAACAGGCTCCGCACCACAAAAAGCATCGTGATGCAGCTGGGCTTGACCCTGCGTGCCCGGGGCCGGCACCCTCCCGGGGCGGGGGGGGGCAGGAGGATTCGGGGAGGCAGCACCCCCCCCCCCCGCCCCGTGCCCCCACTCACCTTTGTTGTGCAAAAAGTGGAGGGCGCTGGCGATATCCTGCACCACCACGCTGGCCTCCAGCTCGTTGAAGTGGCGTCTCCGGTGGATGTGGGTCAGGATGGAGCCTGTGGCCGGGCAAAGAGCAGAGTGGGGGCTCGTGGGGGGGTTCTCGCCGCCCCGGCTCCCCCCGCCTCGCCCCGGCACCACACTCACCTCCTCTCATCTTCTCAAACACCAGGTAAAACCTCTCCTCTTCCTCAAAGAACTCAATCAGCTCCAGGACGTTCCTGGGGGGCACAGCTGCATCAGCCCAGCATCCCCCCCCCCAAACTTCCCGGGGTTCCCCCCTCCCCACAGCCCCCTGCACCCCCAACCAGTGTGCATCCCCGGCCGGGGGTGGGGGGAGATGCGGGATGGGAAAATTGGGTTTCCAGTGATTGAAACCACACAGCCAGGGCCCCCCAGCTGCATTCCAGGGGGAGAGGGACTTTCAGCGCCCGGCTCCGCTCCCTAATTGCTCGCAGACCCTCCTGGCTCGCTCGCCCCTCTCCAGAAACAGCCCTGCTCAGCGGCGGGACGGCAAACGCCCCGGCTCCCCCCTCGGCACTGCTCCAACCCGGCTGCTGTGGCCCCCCCCCCCCCCCCCCCCCCCCCCGTCGTCATGGCAAAGCGCTTAAACGTCGCCTCGAGATGCTGCCGGGGAGGGGAGGGCGGCCTGGCTGCAGCCCATCGGTGTCTCGAGCATCAGCCCGGTCTCAGCCCACTCCCCGTGCCCGCAACGTGTCTGGGGGGGGGGGGGGGGGGACGGGACACGGTGGCTGCCCCACAGTACCTGTGTCCCTGGCACTGATAGAGCATCTCCACCTCCCGGAAGACTCTGCTGCGGATGTGTCCCAGGCGCTTCTCTATGATCTGAAACGCAAAGAGGGGGGGAGGCTCGGGGAGAGGCATCACTGCTGGGGAGGGGCTGACAACCACCCGCACCCCCCCCAACCCGGGCGGCGCTGGGGACCCCCAGGGCCGGGCGGAGGCGGGCGGGGGGGGGGGGTGCCTGAAGGGGTTAAGGCAGCAGAACAGGCTGTTCCCGGGGCTGTGCCAAGCCGCTCCCTCCCGGCCGGGGCCGGGGCCAAGGCGAGGTCCCTGCGACACGGAGAGGAGGGCGCTTCGCCCCACAGGGTGCCCACTCGCCGCCTCGCGTGGGGAGAGCCGGGTGCTCCCCCACCAGCCCCAGCCTTTTGGGGCGCACAGAGCGCCCAGCTGCCGCGCAGGCCCCCCCCCCCCCCCCCGCCGTCCCAGTTTCCCCACTGGGGCACCCAAAGACCTTTCGAGGGTGAGGGGGGAAGCCCAGTTCCCCCTGGCATTCAGCTGGATCGTGACACAGGGCCCATCCCAGCCCCCTCATGCCATGGCTGGGAGCCTGCAGGGCCACCCTCCCCAACCCCAAAAGCAGCTGGTTCACCCCAACCCCCTCCAGCACCCACGTGCTTGCAGGGGCACGGAGTCCTCCCCGGGGCAAGTGGGAACCGGTCACCCCATCGGCATCACACGCCCCTGCTTGCCCCGAGCCCCCAGACGCGTCACAAGCGTTAATTTAACCTCCCGTCTGCTCTAATTTACAGGGAGAGGGGTGTAGTTAAGGGGGTTGACCAAGGTCCTGGAGCTGGGAGGTAGCAGAGAATGGCGTGCCACCTTCACGGCCTGACACCGACACGCTCCTGCCCCTCTCCTTCCCCTCCAGCCCACGAAACCGTCGCCCTGTGCCAGCACTGGGTGGCTGTGGGAGCTGGGAGAGCCCACGGTGTGGAGGGCAGAAAGGGAAACTGAGGCAGGGGGTGGGAGGGAGCCGGGTCTGGAGCCCCGAGCGGCAGAGCTTTACCTTCACCGCGTACTCCTTGTTGGTGATGAGGTTAACGCAGGACTGGACTCTGGCGTGGGCCCCTTCTCCCAGCACCTCCTCCTGCAGCTGGTAAACATCTGGCAGGGGAGAGGCTGCCTGAGCCGCTGGCCCTGCCGCAGCACGGGACACCACGGCTGTCCCTTCTCCCCGGGCTGTCCCCAAGCCTGGGGACACCAGGAGGGGCCCCAGCCCTGCCCCAGGCTGGGGGGGACACCCCGGGGTCCCTGGGCAGCCCCCGCTCACCTTCAAACCTGCCGGAGAAGCTGTCGGTGGCTCTGCAGCGCTTCTTCTTCTTGTTCCTTTTCTTGGCGTCGGGGATATCGATGGGTTGACTTGAAGGCATGTCTGTGCCAGAGCAAAGCCACCGGTGTGAGTCCCCCCCGCCGTCCGCCCCACACTCCCCCAGCATCATCACCCCTGGGGCAGCCCCCCAAAGCCTTTGGGGGGAATGCAAAGGGCCAAGGCCCTGGGGTCTGGGACGGGAGGAGCCCCCCCGGGATGCAGCCCCGCGGGAGGGCACCTGCAGCTCACCGGGACGGGGCGGACACTCGAAGTTGAAGACTGGCTCCAGGTGGTTGGACTGGTCAAACTCCAGGTCAAAGGGGTTTTGTCCCTGCGGGGGCCAAGAACAGGAGTGAGGTGGTGGCCACCGGATCAGCCACCACCGGCTGCCCACACCGAGCCCCATACGGACACGGAGCCCGGCACACGCTCTGCTCACCCGCCCCACTGGTGCGGGACACCAGCTCATGGTGCCGCTGCCGGAGGGACATGGTGGAGCCCTGGGCAGAGCCAGAGGAGGAGGAGGAGGAGGAGGAAGGGTTCGACCACATCTGATGGGGATGGTGCTGCTGTGTCCTGCCTCCACGCCAGAGCCCCAGGCCGGCACACGGGGGATGGCGAGAGGGATTGGGGTGGGCCGCCCGCCCCAACCCAACCCCAAACCTCCACCCAGACCTGAGCTACAGTGAGGGGGGAGGAAGAAAAGCCACAGGGCAGGACGAGCTCCAGAGCCACCGCGCCGCCGGCTCCCTGCAAGGTCACGGTGGGCCGGAGCCCACTCGAGTGAACATGGTGCCCACCGGGCTGCGAGACACCACGACCTGGCAGGATCAGGCCCCACCCCAAACCCCTCCCCTGCGCCCCGGCTTGGCAAAGGACATGGGAATTGCTGCCTCCCCCACCCCAAACCCCGGTGGCTCCGGTCCCAGCGCCCCAAAAGGGACGTGGGGACCCTCTGCCCCCCCGAGCCGCCCCACAGGGCAGAGCCAGGGGGGCGAAAGGGCCCCGTCCTCTCCAGGGTTACGAAATCTGTTTGGGTGGAGGTGGCAGGTCCCGGCAGCGTTCCCAAACCCGCCCCAGTGCCCCGGTGCCCGGGCCGGCTGCCAGCCCCAGCGCGTCGCAGGAACAGCAAACCCCGGCCACCGCTGCCAGAAACCGCCCGAAAGCGCCTGTTTACTGCTGGGGCAGCTCTCGGGGGGGGGGGGGGGGGGGGGGGCCGGGGAGGTCCCCACCGAGGGGTGGGGGGGCTGTCACACCAGCAGCACCCCCTCACCAAGCACCATTCCAGCTCCTGCCCAGCATTTTGCCAGCTTCCCTACTCCCCCCCCCAAAAAAAATCTGAATTTGCAGAGTGCAGCAGTGCCCTTTGGCTGCCAGCCCCCCCTCCCCAGCCACAGCCCCTGCGTCAGGGCAGCCGCCACCCCCCCCCACCGCGACAAGAGACTTCAGCCCAACTCCCTGCACCGTGGGCAGGATGCGACCTCGCGGGGGGAGCAGCCAGGGGGCAAACGGGGGGCACGGGGCCCTGCCAGCTGCCGCAGCACTGACACACAAAAGGTTTGGGGGATGGGAGACGCGGGGCGGACGCTGCGCACCGGCTCCATCAGCACATCCGAGGTGTCCCCTGGGCCCGTCCTGGTCCCGAGCCACCCGGGGGGGGGGGGTGTGTGTGTCAGTGGGGAGGGAGCCAAACCTCGGCCCAAAGCCTTAAAAGCAGGATTAGGTGTCAGCTAAAATAAGCCGGGCAGGTTTCGGGTGCGCTCCCAGCATCCCTCGGAGCGCCGGGAGCCAAACTAAACAAAGATCCCACGGAGCTGCTGAGCCGCACGCTGGGCCAAGAGCGAGCGTTGAGGGGAGCAGCACCCGGCAGGATTTGGCCCCCATCCCCCCCCCCCCCCCCAACCCCGACAGTGACCGGGATGGCTGCGGGGTGCCTGGGCTGACGGTGCCGCGGCCACCCCTGGGCGCAGCCGCAGCCCTGGGCTGGAGAACGTGTGCGCAGCCGTGCCAGGATCGGGCCCTCGCACAAGCTGTTTGCACAACAGGTCCTGGGCCGGGCTGGGCCTGGCGAGCCCCTGCAGCCCCCCACCCCCCCCCCGCGCTGGGACACTAGGGGCAAATGGGTGCAGCTGGGGGGGGGGGGCGGGGGGACACGACACACGACAGTGCAACCCACCCACCCACCCCACGGAGGACCCTGTAGGAGCTGCAGCAGAGCGAGCAAAGCCTTGCTGCAGCATCCTAGTGCCCGCTCGGGGGGGGGGGGGGGGGGGGGGGCGCCGGAATCTGCAGACCTGACCCCCGGAGCACCCCGACCCTCGGGGTGGTGAAACGGGGGGGGGGGGGGGGGAGGGGTCTCGCTGCCCGGGTCCGGGTGGCAGCGCCCCCAGCGCTTCCCTCCTTCGGGGGGGATTGGGGGGGGGGGCGGCTCCCCCCCCCCGGGCAGGGGATGCGGCGCAGAGCGCTGCAGAGCGCAGGATCCGGCCGCCGCGGGCCCGCACCCGCCCTGCCCGCAACCCAACCCCGGTGCATCCCCCCGAGCCCCCCCCCCCGGGTGGAGAGGAGCAGTCCCTTACCTTGAAGGAGCGGTGGAAACCTGGGATCTCTGATTTCTTCTGCACCATCTTGCTGCGGGGGGGGGCGGCGGGGGGCGGCGTTGCTGGGAGAAATGATGGGGGGGGAGCGGAAAAAAAAAAAGAAACAACAACAAAAAAAAAAACCACAAAAAAACAAAAAACGGGCGGGGGGGGGGGGGGGAAGGAGGCGGAGGGACGGGCAGAGCCGGAGGGGAGTCCGGGGGGTGGCCGAGACCTGCGGGGAGAGGAGCGGGGGGGGGGGGGGGTGTCAGGCGGCTGCGGCCCCGCCCGGAGCCCGCGGCCCCCCCGGCCCCCCCGCGCTCACCGGCGCGGCCCCGCAGAGCCGCCGCCGCTGCTGGTGGAACCGCAGCCCGCGCCGCTCCGCTCCGCTCCGCTCCGCTCCGCGCCGCCGCCGGGAGGGGACGCGCCGCCGCCGCCCCCGGCACCTTTATAGCGGCGGCCCCGGCCCCGCCCCGAACCGCCCCGAACCGCCCCCGCCGGGCGCCGCCGCCCCGGGCCGGGGACACCCCCCCGGGGGGACACACACACCCCCCCGGGGACACACACCCCCCCCCCCCCGCCCCCCCGGGGACACACACACACACCCCCGGGGGGACACACACCCCACACCCCCCCCGGGGACACACACACACACCCCACACCCCCCCCGGGGACACTCACACACACCCCCACCCCCTCGGGGACACACACACACACACCCACCCCCCCGGACACACACACACACACACACACCCGGGGGTACACACACACACACCCACCCCCTCGGGTTCACACACACACACCCCCCCCACCCCCCCGGGGACACCCCCACACCCCCACCCCCCCGGGGACATCACACACACCCCCCCACCCCCCCGGGGACACCCCCACCCCCACCCCCCCCGGGGACACCCCCCCACCCACCCACCCCCCCCCGGGTTCACACACACACCCCCCCACCCCCCCCGAGGACACCCCCCCACCCCCCCACCCTCCCCGGACACACACACACACACACACACACACCCGGGGACACACCCCCCCCCCCCCCACACCCCCCCGGGGACACACACACCCCCCCACCCCCCCACCAGGGACACACACACCGGGGTACCCCCCCACAGACACAAACAACCCCCTCAGGAACAAAAATACACCCCCCCCACCCCCCCACCCCCCCCCGGACACAAAGGGCCCCCGCGCTGCACCGGGGCACCCCTCTGCGCTGCTCCTGGGACCCAAACAACAACCACCCCCCCGCCACTCCCCCCTCCCGCCCCGACACTCTCCTGCGCTGCACCAGGAAATGGGGACACCCCCCCCCCCCATCCCCGGGGGGGGGCCCTGCACCCCAACTCCCCAGCACCCTCCTGTGCTGCAGGCAGGGACAGGGGCACCCCCCCCCCCCCCACCCCGGCCACCCCCCCCCCGCGCTGCACCCAGAGACAGGGACACCCCTCAGACCCCCCCGCACTGCACCAGGGGATGATGACACCCCCCCCCCCGACACCCCAACCCCCCCCCCCCCCCCCGACACCCCAACCCCCCCCCCCCCCGACACCCCAACACCCCCCCCCCGGGCCCAGGGACAGGCACAGCCCTGGGCACCCTTTAACACACCCGGGGACAGGGACACCCCTTGGGGTCCCCCCCCCAAGGACACTCCAGCTCCCTGTTCATTTTCTGCAGCTCTGGGGGGGGGCGCTGGCCCTGACACCCCCCCCCCCTCCAAGCCCACACATGCCACGAGTGGGGCAGTGCTCAGCCCCGCAGCCAGGCCTGAGCCGGGGGGGGGGGATCAGGGCACGGGGTCACGTCCCTCCAGGCCACCAAAGTCCTGCTGGATGTGGCCAGCGGTGGCCAAGGGGGGGGGGGGCGAGATGCGGGATCTCCAGGCTCAGTGGCACCGTGGGAGGTTGGCACCGCGTGGGTGTCGTTCCCTGTGCGCGTGTGCGTGTCGTGTCCCCCCCCCCCAATAATCTCGTGTGACGCCACCCCGGGCTGAGAACAGACGCGCTCGTTGCGCCGAGCGGCGGCGCCGGGGCCAATGGCTGCAGCCCCGCGGCCCGTGACCTCACCGCCCGCGCCGCCCATTGGCTGCTCGCCCCGACGCCGCCATTGCGCACCCCGCGGGCCCCGCCCCCCCCCCCCCCCCCCCCCCGCTGCACCGCAGCCGCCTCCCCCGGGGGAGCCCCGTGTCAGCCCCCCCCCCCCCCCCCCAATGCAGCCCCTGGCCCTGCCATCACACTCTGCCCCCCCCCCCCACTGCAGCTTCTTCTCTTCCTCCCCTCCCTTTTCAGGGACGTTTCACTGCGGGGGTTGCAGGCCCCCAAAGCCACCCGGTGCCATCCTGGCGTGGGGCCGCCGCGGTGGGGACCCGGCTGCCCCCCCCAAAATTCCTGCTTTCGCCAGGCCTCGATGGCTGCTCCCACGTCCCCCTTCACAAGCCGAGCAGCTGGGGAAAACCACGCGCCCCGGATCTTCCTTTATTAGCACTGCTAACGAGGGCTCCCCAATTAACCCAGCCTGGGCGGGGGTGGGGGCAGATGTGGTGCTGCAGGACCGGGGGGGGGGGGGGGGGGGGCGGATTTGCAGGGTTTTGGCTCCGGGGGTAGAGGAGGGACAGGGGGACAGGGACGGGGGACAGGGACGGGGGGACAGGGACGGGGGACAGGGACGGGGGACAGGGACAGGGGACAGGGACAGGGGGACAGGGATGGGGGACAGGGACAGGGGACAGGGACGGGGGACAGGGATGGGGGACAGGGACAGGGGACAGGGACAGGGGGACAGGGACAGGGGGACAGGGACGGGGGACAGGGACAGGGGACAGGGACAGGGGGACAGGGATGGGGGACAGGGATGGGGGACAGGGACGGGGGACAGGGACAGGGGGACAGGGATGGGGGACAGGGATGGGGGACAGGGACAGGGGACAGGGACGGGGGACAGGGACGGGGGACAGGGATGGGGGACAGGGACGGGGGACAGGGACGGTGCCGTGGGGCGCGCTGGCCGCTGGCACCCGTTGGGGCGGCTCCCAACAAGTGGAGGAGCCACATACCTCCAGAATTGCTCACGCCACCATGTAGGTCACCGAGCCGGTGATGACAGGGCGCCAGCGCCGGCACCCACAGCCCCGGGGGGGCCACCCGTGGGTGCCTGGCGTGGCGGGGACACCCGGGGCCGCCCGGGAGCGGCAGCCGTGCCTGCCCGGCCCCGCGGTGGCTGCATGTGTCCTGCCTGTTTCCTGCGTGCTCGCTGCGTGTGCGATACAGGCCCTCTGCGTGTCAGCTGCGTGTTCTCCGGCCGGGCACCACACCCGCCCTGCGTGGCCCGTGCGCGCTCGTGGCCCGCTGCGGGCTTGCCATGCAGGAGCTCCACGTGTTTGCTTCACGCCTGCCACACGCTCTCTCCGTGCTTGCTGCGTGCTCTCTGCACGCTCACTGCACACTCTCTGCACACTCACTGCATGTCTGCACACTCTCTGCACGCTCTCTGCACGCTCACTGCATGTCAGCACGCTCTCTGCACGCTCACTGCATGTCAGCACGCTCTCTGCACGCTCACTGCACGCTCACTGCATGTCTGCACGCTCACTGCACGCTCACTGCACGCTCACTGCATGTCTGCACACTCTCTGCACGCTCTCTGCACGCTCACTGCATGTCAGCACGCTCTCTGCACGCTCACTGCACGCTCACTGCATGTCTGCACGCTCACTGCACGCTCACTGCATGCTCACTGCATGTCTGCACACTCTCTGCACGCTCTCTGCACGCTCACTGCATGTCTGTGCACTCTCTGCACTCTCTCTGCACACTCACTGCATGCTCTGCACGCTCACTGCATGCTCACTGCATGTCTGCGTGCTCTCTGCCCACTCACTGCACATTCAATGCATGTCTGCACGCTATCTGCACACTCTCTGCACGCTCACTGCACGCTCTCTGCACACTCAATGCACGTCTGCACGCTCTCTGCACACTTGCTGCATGTCTGCACGCTCACTGCACGCTCACTGCCCACTCACTGCACACTCAGTGCACATTCACTGCACACTCGCTGCCCACTCACTGCACGCTCCCTCTGTGCTCCCTGCTCACGGTCCACGCTCACCCTTCTCTCCCCGCATGCTCACAGCACGCTTGCTGCACGCTCTCAGCAAGCAGGGAGGTGTCGGGGCGATGCCGGCGCCGTTCAAACCCCGGCGGGGGGTGGCAAGGGGTTCGCGGGGGGCAGCTGCCTCCAGCTGCGAGGCCACGGGCGAGTTTGCAGCCAGGTGTGACGAGAGGGTCAGGGCTCAGGCTGCTGGGGGCAGGGAGCCGTTTGGCCCTGGGGGGGGCTCCCAGTGGTGCAGGGCAGCAGGTCACAGACCCCTTCCCTGTGCCCCCACGTGGGGCCGGACGCTGCGTGGCAGCTGGGTGCGCGCAAAAACCCCGCGGGTGCGAGGGCGAAGCAGGAGGCGGCCGAGCATCCCCCCCGCGTGGCGTTTGCACACGCAGACACGCGTGTGCGGCCAGCACACGTGTGCACACACACACGCACACACACGCGCGCGCACGTGCAGGCGCAGCCTCTCCGGGTGCATCACTGTGCAGCCGCGTGGTTGCCCGAGGGCTGGCTCGCACACACACGCCTGCACACACGTGTACACATGCACACGCACACACGATCACGCCGGCGCTGTCCCACGTGTTGGTTTTTCCCTGCACACACGGTTATCCTGCTGCTTCAGCCGTGTTTCCCCCCACCCCTGAGCTGAACCCCGGCCGCTTTCCTCTGGGCCTCCCCCGTGCACGTGTGTTTTGGGGGCCTGAGTGGGGGGTCCTGCGCTGAACCCCCTTTTTGGAACAGCCCTTGCAAATCTGGGGCTGCTCTGGTGGCTCCAGCTGTGGGGGCGCACGTGCCCCCAGCAAACCCACGCCAGCGCCTGGCAACAGGAGGTTTTGACAGCTCAGGGCCTGAGCTCGCAGCGCAGGACATCTGAATTTTTTTCAGGGAAACACGAATTTTGATGCATTTGATGCTCCCCGTCTGCTCAGCGGGTGCTGAGCCCCCCCCCCCAGCCCTCCTCCCTCCTCCTGATGGTCGCATCCAGCATCCCAGGGGCTGCAAATCTGGGGCGGGCGGCAGCAAACCCGCTGCGCCCCGTTTTCCGCTGGCATCCACGAGCACAGAAACACCCCCAGGGTGGCCGTGCCCCCCGCGGCATCGCCCGTCCCCGCGCCCCTCGGTGCCGCCGGCGTGGGGGGTCTCCACGGGTCGCTGGAGCCCCACACGCCGAGACCGGCCGAGGGAAAACAGGAAAGCGAGTGGGGCCGTGCCGGAAAGCGGCTATTGTTGGCGTGGGGAGCGGAGGGAGTGCGAGTCAGGCGGGAGGCCACCTCGGCCACCTCGGCCACCATCTCGGCCACCTCGGCCACCCCTCCGGCCGGTGGCACAGCTTGCCCCGAACCCACGCACGGCTGTCCCCTTCCCCACGGGACGTGGGTCGGCCCCGGCGCGGGCAGGAGCAGCGGGAGAGCGGCCGCTGGCGGTGTGTGCGGGGCTTCCTCCTCCCCTGCTCTGGTTTGGAAGGGAAAAAATAAAATAAATCCTTTTTCCTTGTGTTATTTCCCCAGTAGAAGGAGGGCCCAGCTTGCCTCCCCTGGAAGCGGGAGGATTTGGAGCCCTGGCTTCATTTCAAATGAAAAAAATCTTTCAAAAAAACCTGGAATTTCCTGCTGGGCAGAAACCTGGAGGTTTGACTCTCCCGGCGCTGGTTCTGCTGCCGGGGCGGGACGGGAGGGTCGGGAGGGACAGGGGACACAGGGGACACAGGGGACACAGGGGACACAGGGGACACAGGGGATACAGGGGACACGCACACGCGCACGTCTGAGGCAGACGTGGGCACACGGCCGTGCGGGCTCGCACGCCGGCGGGTCCCTCAGCCTCCCGCCTTGCCCCGATGCAGCCAGGGGAATTTGGGCAGCTCTGACTCTCCAGCCCCCCTGCTCCTGCTGCGGGGGCGAGATGCCGGGGCTCTGCGACACCCCCAAGTCCCAGCGTTTGCCCCCCCGCTGCCACCACGGGGTTTTCGCCAGGGCTGGGGCTCCAGCCTCTCGCTCCCCCTCTGTGACAGGGCTTGGGGCGAAGTGTTTCCCAGCTCCTGCTCTGCAGCAACATTTCGGGGCTGCCCCCCCCCCCCGACGGCCAGGGACCCCCACGGCAGATCTGCCTGGCCCAGCCTGTCTTTGGGGACAGTAGCGGGACATGGCGCGCGCAGCGGGTGCCGTGCCTCAGTTTCCCCAGCTGGAGGAGGTGCCGTGGGGTTAAGGAGCAGCTGTAACCCAGAGCTGAAGCAGCCGGGCAGTGAGATCCTGAGGGGGGGTACAAACACACACTAGGGTGGTTTCACCCCAAAAACACCTTCGAGGTTCAGCAGGGAGCATCCCCCATCCCCCAGCAGCCTCGCGGGGACACGGCCAGCCCTGCACCGGCCAAAACCCAGGGGACGAGGAGGTGGGATGGTGGGGCTGGGCTGGGACTCGGCACAGGCATCCGTGGGGAAGCTGGACCGAGTCCCCGCGGGGAGGGAAATCCCTGCAGCCCCCGAAACCAGGGGCAGGAGCTCCGGGAGCTGCACTTTCGGGGTGTCTGTGGAGAAGGGCAGGGAGGGGGCTCACGCCATGCCGCAGTGGGGGTTTCACCTTGGTTGCTGGTAGCTTTTAAATGCCCTGGGCTAATTTTGCCTCTCTCCATCCTCCGGATTCCTCGGGAAGGGGTGAGACCCCCAGGAGCAGCCCCGACCTGCTGCAGCCAGGTCACTGCGGGCAGCCCCAGGAGCCGGGGGAACGCGGTGGGAGGGGAGGTGTGGGCTGGCACGTCGCAGAGTTTCCTAGAAGGAGAAAAAAGTCCCAAACCACCAGAAAAAAAAACTACCCCAGCTGCCTTGATGTTTGAAAAGGGCATCGAAGCCGCAGCGAGGGCCCGTGCAGCCCCATGCTGGAAGGTGCCGGGTGCTGGCGCCTGCGTCCCGGCAGCCTCTTGGGTTGGCAGGGGATATTGTTTGCCAGGAGCAAAAATACACCTGAAGCCCCTTTTTTCAAGCTGCTGCCGACAAAGTGCTGGGTAAACCGTGGCAGCGAGGGACAGCACGGGGCTCAGAGCAGCAGGTGCCCTCCGGTATCGCGTGCTCCCCGCTCCGGTGCTTCCCCAGAAGGGCCGCTGGGTCCTGCCCATGGTCCCAGCGTGGGGCTGGGGAGCTGCTGGCTGCCAGCCTGGCCACACACCGGTGTGGCTGTGGGACAGTGCCCGGAGCACTGGTGAGCAGCATCTCTGCTGAGCCGCTCCGGCTGGAGGGGCAGGGCAGGGGTAGGGACGGGCTTATGCTACAGCAAAGCCCTGGCAATGCTCTGGGCAGGATCTGCTGCTCGGGGGAGGCAGCGGTGGCTGGGGACATCCCTGTCCTCACCCAGAGGGGACGCGGCTCCCACACAGACCCCAAGGATAAGTTCCTGGCTGAAGCCACACGGAGACCCTCAGACCCTGCTCCCCCTTGGCTGCTTTCCGAGCGCCCATGCCATTGCTGCTCCCACTCCCTGGTTTCAGAAACCAGGGCCAATTTTAAGCAAACCCGACTGAGAACTGAGGTCCTAAAGCTCCTGAGCTCCTCAGTATTTGGGGGCCGGAGGAACCCAGCCAGGACAAGGGCGCAGGAGTGAGCCATCGTTTCCTCCGGAGCAGCAGGCGACACTGCGCTGAGCCAAAGAAAAGAAATATTTCCCTTTCGAACATACGGCCGCCGCAGCCCCCTCCGTGCCGCGGCAGCGCCCCGCAGCCCGCGCCCGCTCCAGCTCCGGGGCAGATCCCATCTGTGCTTTTTGGGAAAGGGTCAGCCCCGCAGAGGAGGCTGCCGGAGCGCCGGGCACACTACCTGCTCATCCCAGGCCCTGCAACACGGGAGATCTGCAGAGCTGTTCTCCTTTGGGCTCTCCCCAAAGCCTTCACGACCCCTCGGTCTGCGCCCCACCAGCGTCTGGGGAAGACGAGTGATAAGAACTACGGGCAGGTCCAGGTCCCGGGGAACCGGAGCGCTGGGCGCTCGCTGCAGCCCGCTCGCCTCCAGATTTCCACTCGCCGAGCGGCTCCCGGGCGAGTAAACCCGAGGCACCGGGAGATGAAAGCAGGCTGCTGCCTGGGCGGCGGAGGCAGGAGGAGAGAAAGGCCGAGAAGCGGCTGCCGGTGGCTCCGCAAACCTGTCTGGGCAACATCCTGCACCGCCGCGCGCTGCACAGCTGCGGCGGCACCTCCAGAGCCTGGTGCTGTTTCTCCTCCTCCTCCCTTGCCTGAGCTGGTCCTGCAGGGAAGCAGCTGGGTGTTTCCCCCCCACCCCCGCGAAAGGGATGGGAGGGCAGAGGAAGGCAGCACCCTGCAGCCCTGGGGGTGACGGCCAGCTGGGTGCTGCACCCCCCCCCCCCAGACACGGCAGCCGAGGTCGGCGCGAAAGGGGAAGCAGATGAAAAGAGACGTGAGCAGCCCCACTACAACCTGGCACTCGGGTCCCCGGGGGTTTGGGCCCTTCCCTGCTGGTGTGCAGGATCCGGCCTTGGTCCTGGGGCACAGCGGGGCTGGGGGGGGGCTGCACCCCCTCCCAGGCAGCGAAGGGTCTTGGCTCCACGGGGGGCTCTGGTCCCAGGATCAGGTGGCCCCACCGCACCCTCCAGTAGCGCCCGGCTGGGGGGGACGTGGCTCCAGCTGAGCTGCACCCCCAAAACAGAGGGAGAAGGGCTGGAGGGTGCTCAACAGGGCCCAGCACCTCTGCCAGGCGAGGGGAGGGGGCAGGAGCTGGTGCTGCAGGCAGGACACGGCCAGGTCTGGTACAGGCAGGAGCTGTGGCCGTGGAGCCTGTTACTCCTCTCCCACTCAGGAAAATAACTTGCAGAATGCAAAGCTTTGGGCCACTCCAGTCCGCCAGCCCCGCCGGCTGCGCCCACAGCTCCTTTCAGGAGCAGCAAAGAGCCCGTCAGCAAGCTGGGAAAAACGTGAACTCACCTCCCCTGCCCACATCCACCCAGGTTTTAGAGCTGGGAGAATCAGCCCTTGGGTAGAGGGACAGCGCAGAGAGAAGTCGGGACAGCCCCAGCCTGCTGGGTGAGCTCCAGCAGCCGCCCAGTCGGCCCCACAGCCCTGGGAACAAGTGTGGGGCTCGGAGCAACCCTGACCCGGCCCCTCGAGAGCAGGAGGGATCAAACCTCACGGCAGCAGAGCCGGGAGCACGCGCCCAAGAGCTTTTAGCAACTGTAGGAAGCAGCTCTCCAGCACACTTGCCAAGGAGTCCGAATACACCGTGTTTGTTTTGCTGATAGAAAAAAACTGTGATGAACGTGTAATCACGAGACATCTAGCAGGCGGAGTGCGCTACGTCAATACAACATAATTTATTGGTTCCATTTCAGAGAACTATAGTGGTATTTGTACGAGTGTCCTAACGATAGTAAAAGAAACAAGAGTCACGTATGTACAGAGATTCCAGGACACAGAAAAACTTTCTAAGGAAGAAGTGGTTAGTGGTACAGTTTGGTCACTGTTCATCAAAACCTTTTCTCTCTGCTTGTAAACCCTGCTCCCCCAGCCCCCCGAATCCTAGGTACCCTATCTACCTACCTGGGGGGGCACTGCAAAGCTCCCGTCGCGCAGCGGAGCTGCTTGTGCAGGCAGCCGAGTGGGGACGGGACCCTGGGGAAGAGGGAGACGGCTCCTCACCCCGACGGGAAGCGGGGAATGGTCCCCACACAGCCAGCAAGCGAGGCCGGAGGGCGAGTGGCCCAGCTCCTCCCCAGCGGGGCAGGGGGCCACGGGGGGATGGGGAAGCGCAGGTGGTTTGAGGAGCCTTCCCCACGCCTGTCCTAGCGCCTTCCCTCCGCTCGCTCCCCCGAGGCACAGGGCCTGCCTGGCCCACCGCCGCCAGCACCGACCCCAGAGCCGCAGCTCAGCTCGGAGCTGGTGTGAGAGGCGAGAGCAGACTCACAACAGCAGCGCTCCGGCACAGACTCCACTAGCAGTGGCAGCACCGGTCTAGACACGAAAGAAACCCAAGTCCAACTTCTTGCAGAGGGAAAGCAAGGAGGGCCAAGCCTTGGGGACGGGATGCCAAAGTGAAGGGCGAGCACAAAAGCAGCTCTGGCCAAAAAGCTGGACTCACAGCCAGCGGAAGGGGTGCTGGAACCAAACAGCACCCCAGGGGATCCACGTACACCGGCATTCCTTCCCCAATCCCCCCGTAACCTCCCTTCATGGGTGGGAAATGGGTGTCCAGAGGGAAGTACCGCTTCCATGGCAGCACCAGCTACACGACACGGCTCTTTCTGAAGCGTCTGGCTCGGCTCACTTGGTGCTGCTGCAGTGAGGGCACAGGGATGAGGCAGTACAAGGTGGCTCTTCCCTTCTCAAAGAGTGAGCGTTTCCACCAAGTGGCCCAAAATATTTTCCTCTTTTTATAGAAATTACTATAAAAAACTAGTTAATCTAGAGAATCTTTAAAAAAATATTCCTGCAATATCACAGTTTTAGATTGAAACTCATTAAAAATATATAGATTTCTTTAACAAAATGTCTCTGTTCTCCCCTTGAATCATGTCCCCAATGCAGGAGTGGGACTCGGAGTCCTCAGAAGAGAGGCCGAGGTGGGAGCAGGAAGGTCTGATCTCAGTGGCACATCCGGGAGGTCATTTCCTTCTGTCGAAGGGACAGAAAAGACAAGGGACCATGAACGATGATCCAGATTGCCAGGTGGGGGTGTGGATGAAAAACCTCACCTTTGTTTAGTGGTAAATACCCTTTTCAGGCACGTGGTGATACTGCTACCAATTGCTCCAGTTTGGGCAGGTCCACGTTACCCCACTGCTCCCGTTCCCAGGACACCCTTCTACTGCCCAAGGGCTCTGCAAGTCTGCTCTGCTGCTTATGGCTTTGGACACGGCATCACCTCCTCCCAGCTCTAACAGGTCACATTCTCCATCCTCCAGACTCCTTGTGAGGGCGGTGGTGTTGCCCTTGCTTTTCAGCACGGGAAAAATGCACAGGGAGGGGGCTTTAGCTGTTCACACCCTAGATGGCTGACGGTGATGGGCTCGTGCAGTGCACACAAACAAGGCAAGCCAGCTGCTAGAAACACAAGGAGGCTGCTGGAGAACAAGTCAACTTCCCCCAGCCGATGCCCAAACACCCCTGGCTCAGCTGTGTCTGCACGTCCTGACTCTCAGTTTCCTGACAATCGAACTGCAAGGCCAACCAACGTCCTGAATTCAGGCGACCAGTTTTTGAGAAGGTACCAGAGACCTCTGTGACTGCTCCACCCCCAGCCCACCCCTTCTGCCCTGGCTACAGACCAACGTGTACCCTGAGCCCCCCCAGACACTCACCAGTGGTTCCAGCTCCTTGGTGTCTATGAGATTGAACTCTTTCACAAAGTAGTAAAAGTGCTTGTAGCAGGTGTTCACGTGGGCTTCCGACCCCATCTGGGTGATCCTGTCGAAATGGTGGATGTAGACATGGACAAAGACCCGGAAGAGCCTGGAGAGAATCTTCTTCACCACCGGGAGGAAGTTCTTGGGGAAGGGAGTACCTGGGAGGGAAGATGTGACCATGAGAAACTTTCAGCCAAGTTAAACCTGGTTCCTTGGGGCTAAAATAAATTGATAAAATGGCTAGGTTAAGACAAAAGGGCTTCTGTCCCTGGTAATTTCCAGTTCCCCTCTCCTTTTTCATTTCCATTTGGGTCAGATTTTTCAAAGCACAGATTTCACGACAGAGCGCTGCACACCATCGATCGCCGCCAACGACTGAAAGTAAGAGACCAGGCTCCGAGATTCCCAGCAGCTGTTTCAGTCTGGTAGAGTTTTTTTTCTACTCCTATTTGGCATGTTCATATAAACAGTGCAAAATACTAGATATGACCAAGTGACCTCCCAGAAGAAAGAGACAGTGCTGTTAACTCCCCACAGTTATCTCTTATTTTGATAAGTCTTTAGCTCTTTGGTTAAAAATTAAGGACGTTAAGGTCCTCTTTCAAGGCATCTGTTCTTTGGGATTTGTTTAGCTGGGGCCCTGCAGTAGAACAGTCCGCCCAACCAGCCATCTCAGTAGAATATTACAGTTTAAAGTTCACACGGGTCACTTCTAAAGGAACAAAGATTAGTTAAACCCTTTCAGTGCTCTGCAAGAACTGCAGCATTCAGTCGGTGTTAAGAGTGAGGAATCTAGTAAAAGCTGAGCTGAAAACGACAGCAATTAAAAAAAAAAAAAAAACCAACCCCAAACCACAACTCTCCTGGCTGTCGGAAACTTGTCTTGCCTCCCCAAACAGAGCAAACACCCTGCTTATCATCCCCGGCCTGCCTTGCAGAAGAGTCCTAACTAAAGGCAATGCAGCAGTTGTTTGGGCAACAGGAGGAACGGGTGGGGAGGATCTCACTGTTTCAGCGGTCTGAAGAACTGGCTGCTTATGGCCCTGCTCCCCCCCTCTGCCCACTCGACACCAGGATTAAGCAGCGTTTTGGCACAGGTGGAGGAGCCCCGGGGATGCTCGTGTGGCAGAGACAGAGCCCAGCCATGTCTCATCAGAGCTGCCATGGGATAAACGCCAGGGCAGGAGGGAGGGAGCTCCGCTGCATCCCAGAAGATGGGAGCTCTGAATGGGATTGATCGTATTTACCTAATGCTTTAGAAACTGAATTCTCACATCTTATCCAGCACAAAACAAATAAAACCCCCAACAATCTTTGTCCCAAAGCCAGTACACGAAGCTGCATTTGGATATGCAGATTTAGGCGTCTTAGGCCAAATTCTCATTTCCATCACCCTGGCAATAGATAAAACACTGCCCCTCCCTCCATGCACATGTCAGCATCCCACCCAGCTGCAGCAAACAGCCGGGTGCAGCCAGGAAGCACCGAGTTAAAAAGGGCAGAGTCAGCTAACACCAGCCTGTAATAACAAAGAGGCTAATTATGGAAACGGAGCCACCATCACCAGGCCAACGCAGGGCACGCGCGTTGAACCCAAGCTAGCAATCAGCTCTAAAAGAGCTGTCCTTCAGGGGACCACGTCCAGCCCGAACTACCCAAGAGTCATGTCAGAGACTGACTGTTCTAAGAGCAGCTTCTTGGTTTTGCTGCCTAGGCTCATCCTGGCTTTCCTCAAGGTATCCATGACTCTAAATGGGATCTGGTACAGCTCTGGGGATTTTAACACTCCAGAAAAGCTCTGGAGTTTCCTGGGTGCTCAGAAGAGCTTACTACGCTGCCAGGCTCTGAGCAGCACAAAAGGAAATAGCTCTGCTGCAAGGGTGACCCGTACAACAGCATCTCCTGGAAACAGGAATGGGACCAGAGGGCTCAGAGCAGAAGGCTCTGCACTGCCTTCCCTCCCTGCCGCTGCCACTGGAACCGAACTCACCAACATTAGTGGGAAAGATGTCCTCGTTGTTGATCTGTACCTCAATCCAGTCCATCAGGAGGTCCATGTACTGGGGAGCAGACAGGGCCGTGGGTTTCCGGTACTTGTGCTCGTCCTGCCACCGGTACTCGTACTTGGGTCCTCCCGACATGACGGGGCAGGACTGCTCCGTGCAATAGTCACTGATGGTGCCGTAGATCAGGTTGATGCGGTTGAAGAAATCCACCACGTGCACGGCCACCCAGTCATTCTGCCCCTCTCCCGGCGGCAGCTGGACGGCAACTTTCAAGTCCAGGCCAGCATTGAGCGAGGCTTGAGCCTTCTTGTGCAGCTCAAACCGCTGAGTCCCTGGCTCAAACTTGCGCTTGGGCCGGAAGGTTTTGTCTTTACTGAACACTTGCTTTAAAGCATGGGACATTTTTCTTCTCTTCTTTCTTTTCCAGGTCCGCAGCGATGACAGCTGGAGATGCAGCGCTGCTGGGCCACTTCCTGGGGTAGGGCTGGGGCAACTCTGATCTTCACAGAAACCTCCCTCTGCTCATCTGGTCCTGATCTGCAATGCAACACAGAAAGGCAGCCGTTAGGAGCAGCTCTCTCAACAGGAAACTTTGTTTAAATCCCATAGGAAGAGATCTGGGATACCATCTGGGCCCTTGACCTAGATCTGAAAAGCGGGGGAGACCAACGCCAGCTCTCTTTCCTCCCCCTTCTCTTCGCAGCCCAGAGCTGGCTCGGCTGTCGGAGGTGACCTGGGCTGAACGAAGAGTCCCCCCTGCAAGGTCTCCCTTGTTCAACGTGGGGATGAGGGAACCAGCCCCACAGGGAAGAGGGTGTGACGTGAAGCGGCAAAACAAGACGTCAAGGCACAGTCCCCCCGTGCCCCCCAGCACGCCTCTGCGGGAGATCGCTGCCGTTAACCCCGACATCATCACACTAAGAGACCCAAACCCCACAGAAACAAGGAGAAACCACCGCCACCTACTCAGCTCCCATACACCAAATAGATAAGAAGGGTAAAACTTTAATTTGGGTTTTACCTGGATCAGATTTTTCCCCTGCTCTTTGGAAACAAGCCTACCTAAAAGGTAAGGTTATGAGAACCCACAGTAAAGTTCAGATCTGGTGCCAGACGTACTTCAACAAAACAGTCATTTGAGCAGGAGCTGCGTGCGCTGCCGTAGTGCTAAAGACAGGACATGAAAGGGTGGAGGGGAACAAGAAGAAGAAGTCGCAGCTCAGGCGCCCGGAAAGAAACACCACCAGCTCTAAAAGCAGCCACAGCCTCTTCTGCAGGTGCAGACAGACCATAAACATATTTTTCGTTTCAGTTTAGCTCACTTCAAGTTGAAGGCTGGTTGAAAGCTGGAAGACCAGGGAAAGCTTGCCTTCCTCTTCCAGTCTGTGGAAAAGAATTCGCTCCAAGAGGGTGAGACACAAGTTAAGATCTGAAAGGATGCTGACGAGAAACACAGCTCTGTTTATCTGTAGCTAATTATACCTCCTTTGTTCCCACATCCATCCCCTCGTATAATTTGTGTCAAGCTGCTCTTTGATGGAAGCTCGAAGCAGAAAGCTGTGTGTACCAAAAATATTATTTCACATGTGCTGGACAGAGAAATAAATACAGTAACAGAAATTAACTAAAGCTAATGCTTTACTGAATCTGGCAAATAAGAGTTTCCGTAATTTTATAAGAAAGCAAGCAAATTCCTTTCACCAAGCAGAATTCCACTTAGATTTACATGAAGCCTTAGAGTTGTCCAAATAGGTAAACAGTGTCGTCAAATGTTGGCAAGGAAATCCCAAATTCAAGGTCAAGACTACCTTTGCCACAATTCAGTCCATCTCTAACAGATGCTGCAGAGTGCTAATCAGCATTTCTTCTCTGGAGAAAGATTAAAAAGATTTAAACCAAGGACTCTTGTTTTCTTATTTAATTACAGCAAGGAAGAAAACCCAAGCCACTTCAGTTCATCCCACTAAGAACAGGCTGAACATTTCCTAGCGCTCCTTTGGCTGCAGGAACAGGCTCAGTAACCTCTTCTGTGCAGGAGCAGAAAGATCCAAACTCCCGTTGCAACTCGGGCCACGACATGCATTGGGAGAAGCCAAAAAAGCATTTTAATGTGGTTTGGCAAGATTCACACCGGGCTGCAAGGTGCATTCACTGCACACAGGCTTTTGCTGCACATAGCACTGTTAGAACAGCTGCTGTGATCCCGTAAGATACCATGTGAGAGTCAAAAAAAAAAAAGAAGAAAAATAAGAACCCCCCCCCAGCAAACGCGTCCTTACGAGGTGTTTGATCACACCACAGACATGGTTAGAGGAAGCAGTGAACGTCGCGGAGGGACATCTGAGCACAAGGCAGCAGCTTTGGTTACAGAGGGATGTGTCACAGCCTCACCACATCCTGCGGCAAAACGCTGAGGCGACCCGGCGGGGCGGAAGCACCGGGGGCCTGCGCCCACCCTGCCGTGGTGCCACGTCCGGAGCGCAGGCAGGACCAGCCCCCGAGGAGCCACAATGTGGACGGCAGGTGCTGAGTCTGCAGCTACTTCCAGCAGGAAATCAGTCCCAGAGAAGTACGTGCACGCAATGATTTCCTTACACTGGAGGTGGAGAAAGAAATGTCCTTTAAAACAAACAAGCCGTAAAGAAGCACGAGCATCGCCCTCTGTACGGCTCCCCGGAGGGCTGGCAGCATCCTTAGCACAGGACGACTCTGTTGCTACTTATTTTCTGCAAGATCTGTCTGATTTCAGTGACCGCACTCGCGTCCTGACCGGCCCAAGACTGCAGCCAGGCATCGCCCCTTCTGCTGGACGAGGCCGTGTTTCTCGAGCAGGGGTCAGGCTGCGGCGGCAGGGCGTGGACACGGAGAAGGGAATGGGGTGAAATGGGCCTGGCCACACACAAGAAGCAAACATTGACCATTTTCCAGAAGAAATTGTCATTTCAGCCGGATGAAGGGACTTTTAATATTGCTTGTTTGCTGTCAGGGCTGTATCCGTCCTACAAACAACTTCCTCTTCCTATGGAGACATCATTCATGAGAACTGGGGAGCTTGACACAGCAGCAGTCGTCTCTTAAGACGATTCAGCATCTGTCTGAAGGCATTAGCAAAATGAGTAGCTAAGACTTCAAGCAGATGCAGTCTATTTAATTATGGTCTTTGACTGCAACTGAGCTAAAAGAAACATTTAGCTCTAGGAGAAGAAGAAAAAAAAGAGGCACCAAAAGCATCCCTGACATTGCTTGAAGATGATATCAAGACGTACACCACCTACCTCCACAGGTGGGAGTCACAGCTTGGGCAGCACTGAGACACTGCCTTCGCACCGAAGAGAAAGGAAAGGTTAGGAACAATTAGGATATGGGACATGCAAAGCACCTGAAGAGTATCTGTGAGCTTCAAAGATGAGATTAAAAAAAAAAAAAAAAAATCCCCCACAAACACCTGCAGTACATTTTGTTTACTCTTTTCCAGCCAGCCAAGATTACAACACACGTCACCGGTGCTCCGAGAGGACCTTGACCACCCCTCCGAGATCCCAGAACCGCCGCAGAAAGTCCCACACCCGGGGCCAGGGCAGGCTGTCCAGAGCACAAACCAACCTCCAGCTTCTCCGCTCTTCCCGAGGCCACGAGACCAGCAGCTCAGTGTTGTGCTGGTTGAGGAGGCGGCTTGCCTGCCCAGCCGGGGGTGTTGAGGCCTGGCCCTCCCTTCTCTTCTCTTCCTTTCCCAAAAGCTCATCTTTTTCCCTTACTCCCTGCTCTCACAGCTCCCGTCCTAAGGCTGATTTCTGCTGAGGGCAGCCCAGGTATCACCCTGCCATTCCTCTTCCCTCGCTGGGAACGGCGGCTCACGGGGTGCTGCCTTACTTTAAAACCAGGCTCCAGCTAGGAGCAGCCCAGGCAGTCGCTTCCCAGTCTCTTAGTTACTTTTACATGTAGCTCAGAGTATGAAAAAAGGAAAGACAGTCACCTCCTCCAACGCAAACTGAAACTGCCTCCCCTCGCAACCTGCTGCAGCCGTCCCGAGGCTTCCCAGGAGCGAGCAGCGTTCCTGCCGGATCCTGCCCTCCCCACCGAGGCAGAACGGCCCCAAACCCTCTTCCAGGAGTCCCATGACTGCTCTGTCAGCGCCTGCCCTGAGCAACACCCAGTGCTCCCCTCTGCCGCTAACACTGTGCGGGGTTTAACAACTGCCAGGGATGTGAAAAAAGAAAAAAAAAAAAAAAAAAAGGAAAGCCAGCACATCAGCAAGCTCCTACCTGCGTTTCTAGCCTCGGCAGATTCTCTTGCGATTGCTCAGCTCGTCTGTGCAACTTCAACCAGCACTTGTAGGCACCGAGGCAAAGAGCTTCCTTTTTCAAAAGAAGGGAGGGGGGGGAAAAAAAAAAGTCCCTTTTCATGCGCGGCTGCAATCCACAAGCTGGGGAGGGGTCAGACGCGCGGCCACTTCCCTCCCAGTGACCCCAGTGCCGGGGCGGCTCACATCCTGCTGCCTCACTGGTAAGAAAGCCCTTAAGAAAACCCCAGTGAGCAATGCATTTCTCAAAATAATTGATTTCTCTAGTTTCCTTTTAGGGAAGCCACACTGCTGTCCTGCAAGATGATACCAACGTGGTATTGCTGCTCGGCACTCGCACCGAGTCCAGCCGAAAGCTCCGTCTGCGGCTGCTTGTAATTGCAGCCCTTCGGTGACGAGCCCGTGCCAGTCACCCCGTCCCCACGGCTCCCCGGAAGGGAGAGGGGAGCAACCAACCCCCCACCCTCCCCTCGAGCTGTCCTCAGTGTCCTTAACTCACCGCTAATGCCATCGCTCAGGCCAGGGTTTCTAATAGAGTACACAAAACCACCCGTGCCAGTTTGATAAAGCAGCCACGGTATACCAGATGCATCGAGCACTTCCAGTAAAAAACAAACTTACACAGCACGCCTGAGAAACTGAATTTACAGAGAACGCCTGAGAAGCAAAGTGGCTTCAAAATAGAGAACTTGAGCAAAAAAGCAAAAATGGACGCACACGCACATTTTTTCCATAATTCACTCCCCCCTTCACAAATACCTTCCCACGGCCATTCTGCACTAGCTCAGTTTCTCGGTACAAGATGATCCTGGTTTTCTGCGATCAAAGGAGATATTTTAATACGGAGAGCAAGGATCAGACCAATTACAGCAAGCAGGGCTGGACTGGCACTAATGACAGCCAGTTTCTGCGCCTCCGGAACCAGTCTGGCAACAAACAAGACAGCTTGCCTTCACAGGATGAGGTTTTCAGCTGCTCTTTTATATTGTTTTACGATATGAGAAACGAAGGCCTGTCCCCGGGCTTACCTCCGCCAGGGCAGGGCACGGCGAGGAGCGTGCGGGGCAGAAGGAGGGCCGAGCGCGGCTGCGGCAGGCACGCCTGGGCCATTCGTAATCGGGGCGAGACGGCGCTTCCACGTCAGCCGGCTTCCTGTCTGGCACCCAGGCCGGCCTCCCGGCCCAGGGAGCTGCCAGCGTTCTCCCAAAAAGCTAATCATTCCCCTCTACGAGCTCTGTCGTGGTGTTCCTGCCTTTTCTCCTGCAAGATCGCTCCACGAGAAGAGCCCAGCAGCTGCCCGGCGGCCCAGCGTTACCCTCGGCGTTGCCTTTTCTTGTTTTTCCTCCGTGCTGGTTCCTGGCAGCAGAAGCTGCTCTGAAGTTAAAGGAGAGGGAGCGGGGAGCGGATCCAGCCCAGCTGCACCTACAGCCCCAGGCTGGGTGAGACACCGGCAGCGAGCCCTTCTGCTGCTCTGCAGGACAATATCCACATTTTTTCTTTCGGAAACTGCTTTAGCAGCAGCCTTCAAAACAAACGTAACAGAGCCATGCAGAAATGCACGTTTGAAACGCTGAATTCCCAAGGTTTAGGCAAACAAAGAGTCCTCTATATTTCACCACGAAGTCAATTTTAAGAAAGTCCTGCTGATCGCAGCCACGCCCCCACCCCACAGTTTAAATCTGCTGCACAATTTGGAAATTCCCAAGAAACTGTACAGCTAGGGCATCCCGCCGGCCCTTCCCGGAAAGAGGCCTGCTTAGGAGCAGGACAGTCTCTTTACGTGCCTCTGAGCCATGCAAAAGCAGAGCCCATCTGCATCGCCATATGCATAAGAAAAGGAAACAGCATAATAAAAGCTCAAAAATAGTTATACCGGGCTTTAATTGGTATCTGTTGTCGCCCCTGAAAGGCTATGCGTTCAGACCAATTTTAAAGTCAAGTTAGGTTATACAATAAAGGGAAAAGCCCTGTGAAGTGTAAGCCATAGCTGGGTTAGGAGCAGCCCCAAGTGATGCAAGCGCAGCGGCCCTGGCAGAGCCCATCAGGCAGCTGCCTGCCGCAGCCCACGCCAGATGGAACCGCGGCTGCTTGGCATGGAAAGCTCAGGTCACCCAGCATCAGGTCACCCAGCACAAGCGGCATTTTTCAGCCGTCGCGAGCAGGACGGCGGAGCAGGCAAGTTTATTGCCTGACTCTGAGCTCAGGATTTAGATCCAGACCAGGTGGTGGCGGGGACAGGAGGGAGGTTATGGGTTTTGTGTGATGGACGGAGCTCGCCCCGCAGGGGGGTAACTGAGGGGATGCAGGTAAGGGGGCGAGCACCCACAGGGGTGGATAACCCTTCCTGGCAGGAGAGAAGGCAGGCTGAATCGCCTACAAACTGCACATAAGCCTGAATTTCCAGTGTGGGTTGCTCCCCCGGCCCCAGCCTTCCAGGCATCCTCCCCGCAGCCACAGAGGGTGGAAAAGCCACACGAGAAAGTAACTTTTGCAAAAGCTCACCCCTCCTACTTTCTCTTCCCCAAAAGCAGAAGGTCAGACAGCAGATGCAGCAATTTAAAAATCTTAATTTGAAAGCCTAGAAATGACTGCAATATAGCAGGAACAGCTATCAGAGCCCTACGCATTACTGATTTAGGGCTACTTTTCTTGCCTCTTACGTGACATCTGCATCCATTGCAATGTCAGAGCCGCAGCTATTTTGGAAGGTTTCCACAGATCGTGCTCACACGTCCACGCTGGGATGACGGCTGCATGTGGAGGCAGAGCTAATCCGCTGCAGGCTTTGCAGACGCTGCGTTAAGCTGACAAGCTGGGTCACGACTCCAGGAGACAGGTTAACTGTACAAATATTTGGAGGATAAACCACAGGCAGTGGGTGGCTGACGGCATGCTAAGAGCAGCTCTCTCTTTCCGAGGTCTGAGGGGCTGTATTTTGCAGCCTGCTCCTTCGGGAAGACCTTTCGCTGTCCTCCAGCCTGGCTTTGTCCCCCACCACAGGATTCATAAGGGGCAGCGTGATATTTATGGAGACCAAGCAGTGAGCTACACCTTTCTTCCTGCTTTTGCAGGCTCCACATTATTGTCCTCACTGGGCAGGGATATTTTTGAACCAACAGCAGTTTCATCTGCTCTAATTTTGGGATCTTCCCCCACCCAAGTAAAAGGTAACGCCGGTTTGGAGCATGAATTTTGCCTTAGGCTGATAAAATGACTACAGCAAGAGGCACTACTTTAAGAGCGTGGCTACGGGGTTGAGATCACAGGAGGTGCCAGGGCTGTGAGCTCCTCCACCCAGGGGCTGAGCTGGAGCACGAGCTGGCCACACGGCCAACCCTTCCCGTGGCAGGGCAAATCCCACCGACAAATACCTCTTCTCCCCATGTTAATATTATGCTTGCAGAAGAAAAGCAGTATTGTTTCCTGCTGAAAGCAGATGCCCACGAGACTTGCTCTTCCCCTCCACGAGGAGATATGGCAGTAACCCAACACATTAGCATGTCTCCAGGCAAGGAATAAGCCCACTGATGTGGAGCTAGAGATCACCTCAAGACTAACCACATCATAAGACCTCCTGCCACATAACGAGAGGAAAAAGAAGAAGAAGAAAAAAAAAAAAAAAAAAAAAAAAAAAAGGCCCAGGCAGCAGGCCCAAGAAAAACCTGCAGTTAAGATGAAGAAAAAAAAAAAAAAAAAAAAATCACAGTGCTTTACAGTGCAGCCATTGGCCTGACTCAGATCCTGCTTCAAACTAAACCACGTTTCGGATGGCTCCAGCTCCTTTTCTGTTCCACAGGCTCCCTCGGAGCCAGCGCAGCGGCACAGAGCTGCAGCCACAATTCACCCAAAGCCAGCCGGTGCCCGGGAAGTGCAGCAGCGCGGTCCCCGAGCAGGCGAGGGCAAGCACCGAGCGTGGTCGCAGCAGGACGCTTCCATCGCGGCACAGCCCGACCCCGGCAGCACACGGGAAGGTCTGGCAGCGTCACCACTTTTGCCTGTCCTCAGAAATAAAGCCTAGCACCTAGGGACTTTGTCCAGACTTTTCTGGAGGAAGTCAAAGCTGCCACAGAGTGATGGATTTTTTTTGTGCTGGCTTTGCGCGCTGTCTCCCAGGGGCACCTGGAAAAGGGAGGAGAAAGACGCAGCCTAAGGTGTACTCTTTACTGAAAGCATTAGCTGGATACTATGTATTTCTAAAGATAAGCTCCCAAACCTCCAGCAAGGCTGGTTATGGATCCACTTACAGCAGCATTTATGGCTCAAGTCTCACAAAATACTTCCCTGTCTTGCAAGAAATTAAAACTCAAATCTTGAAGGCTTCCCAGATCCGAACGCTGTGCACGGGACTGGTTAGGTTTTGCAATCTCTCTTCTCTGACCCCACACGCTTTCACTGCTGACAAGGGAAACCTTTTTCCTTTGTGTACTGTGGCCATAGAGATCCCTGGCCCATTTACAGAGAAGCACGAGTTACAAAACACGGCACACATCAGTACAGCCCAGCCTCTGCAAACGGGACTAAATCGCACCGTTTCAGCTCGGGTGCTCCTTCACATCCCGTCAACGAAAGAGCCACGTTGGAGCTAAATATGGACAATGAAGCACGTGGCAAACAGCTCCTGCACTAGAGGACAGATGAAGTCATGAAGGAGGACTTTGCTCAAGATGAGGTGTATGCTTCAGGTTCCCTAAGCCTCGGCCAAGCAGAGAGGAGAGCCCGCTTCCATTTCTGATGGTGGCACGATTGACTCTGCAACCCCAAGTAACCTGAAGAAAAGAGCGTCCCAGATCCTGCAAGGTGAGCCAGGCACAGGGACCCAGCTCCTCAGCGTAAACCCAGAGCACCAGCTCTTGCTACCACGCCACCAAGCTGGTGCGAGCTCCCAGCACTCCTCTCCTCCCTTTCTGCAGGTTTTAAAGGGTCACAAGCTCACCCTTTGGCCCAAGTTAACTTCACAAGTACATGACTAAGAAAGTGAAACTAAGATAGGGAATATACAGTCCAAGAAACAGCAATAGATAAACACGGAGTTGGATGCGAGCCTAAAGCTTGGAAAGGAAGCAGAGTGCAAGGACAAAGCCCTGGGGACTGCAATAAACAGGTGGCTGGGGAAATTTCACATCTCCTAGAAAAAAATCCCTCCCTGCCCTGCAGCTTGGCAGGAGACTTACAGACTGGAAAGGGGTTTAAAACAAAAAAGGGATGGAAATTGAGAAAGCGTGGCCACTCTTCAATTCCAAGCATTAGAAGAAGGGGATTTTGCCTTTCACTAGCACCAGTCTGTGACAGAGATGCTTTTTCCAAACATCTGTGCCGCACACTGGACAACTTCAAATCCCTCTTTCCTCGCTCTCCAGAGGACTTCCTGCTCTTTACTTTCTGTCTGTCCTTCTCACACACAGGAAGAGTTTTCTTTGAAGGAGCTGAGGTTATTGTACTGCAGAGTACAGCAGAGGCAGCTACTGTAAAATCAGCGTTCCTGTGCTCATAGCAAGGGATAGAAGCAAGAGTTTGCCTTCAAGCGTCACAAGTTCTCCCTCATGACAGCTGAGTCGCAGCTCACCACAATCAGAAAAAAAGGGAGAATTCGCCATTCTCCCCAGGCATTTAAGAGATTGAGAAGTTTGAACTTCTAGATTATGCCTTTACCTACAATGGAAAGAGTTATTAGCATAACTAGAGCAGGACATGGGGGAAAGAGGTGGAATAAAATACAAGAGTATCCAAGTCTAACTCCACGGTTATGCTCTCAAAACTCTCTGCGCTCGGTTTTTTGCCTCGTTATGAGATTTCCGATTTTTTGGTAAGCACCGCAGCAGGTAGCAGCACCCGGCCGCTGGCACCCCAAGCCCCCCCGGGGGGAGGGGATGCCCCGGCGCCCCCGCGGAGCCGCTTCCCCTCCCGGAGCGGAGCCGGGCCGCCCCCCCCGCCCCCCCGCCCCGGGCCGGGGGGGGCCGCAGGGGCCCGGTACAACCCCAAAGCCACCAGAAACTCGCTCGCGACTGCCCGATGCCGAAGGAAAAAACATAAATAATTTAAAAAAGGCGGTAGAAGTCCCAGCTCAACAGGTTACTCGCCCCGGCGCCCCGAGGAGGCCCCAGCCCGCCCTCCCCCCCCCCCAAGGGGAACGCGGACAGCCCGGGCCCCGCCACCGCGGGGGGACGGCGACCCCCGGGCCGGGCTGGGCACCCCCCGCCCGCCCCCCCGAGGCCACTCCGGCTCAGGGACGCCCCCAACCCCCCTCCCGACTCCCCGGACCCCCCCGGCCCCCGCACCTGGCTGCTCACAGCTAAGCCGCGGCGGCGCGGAAGCAGCGCCCCTCGTGGGCCGAAGCACTCCGCCCCCTCGCCCGCCCCGCAGAAGTTGGCGCTCTCCCGCGCGGCCCCTCTCCGCGCGCGGCCGCCAGCAGCCGGCCCTACTTCCTCTTAAAGGGGCCGCCCGCCGGCCCGCGCCTCGCCGCCGGCGGCTCCTCCCGCGGGCGGGGCCGGGCCGGGCGCTGCAGGAGTTGGTGTGGAGACAACGGTTTATTCGGTTTTTTTTTTTACCTTATTGTCTTTTACTCTTTTTTTCCTTTTACTCTATTTTCTTTTATTTTACTCTACTTTTAAAAAATCTATTTATTTATTCTTGTATTCTATTTATTTACTTTTATTCAGTTTCACTCCATTCTATTTATTTTATTCAATTCTATTTTCTTTTATTCGATTTTATCTATTTTCCTTTACCCCCTGTAGGTATTTTATTTAACTTTATTCAATTTTATTTATTTTATTCCCTTCTATTTATTTTTGTTTATTCAATTAATTTTCTTTTATTCAATTTTATCTATTTTATTTTATTCAATGTTATTTATTCCATTATTTTTATTTTTCTTATTCAGTTTTATCTATTTTCTTTTATTCACCTTTATCTATTTTATGTGTTTGATTCAATTTTATTTATTTTATTCCATTCTATTTATTTTCTTTTAGTCAATTGTATTTATTTTATTCACTTTTTTTTTTTTACTCCATTTTATCTTTTTAAAAACATTTTTCTTTTATTCCATTTTCTTGATTTCAGCCATGATTTGTATTTTCCCGGAGATGGGAGGAGGGGCAGCCCCGGCCCCCGCCGCGTCCCGCCCCGCAGCGCGGCGGGGTTAACCCCCGCGCGGAGCCCGGCCGCGGGGTGCACTCGGGGGGCCGGTTCCCCTCGGCGGGCCGGGGTGCGGTGCCGGTGCCGGTGCCGGTGCCGGAGCGGCTCCCGCATCGGAAGCAAAACGGGGCCGGGGACCCGCGGGCGCAGCCGCGTCCCGCTGCGCGGCCGCTCCGGGAGGGGCTTCGGGCCGCCCGGTCCCCAAACCCGCCGCTCCCCGCACCTCGGCCTCTCCAATACCCTTTTTTTTTTTTTTTTTTTTTTTTTCCGATTTCCATTTCGCTTTGAGGCTGGCGGCGGGGGGGGGTTGGGGGGAGCCCGAGGCAGCCGCGGTCCCGCCCCGGGAGAGCGGGCGGAGCTGGGCCCGGCCCGGCCGGCGGCTCCCGGGGCTGGGGGCTGGCTCGGTTCGACTTGGGGGGGGGGGGTGGGAGGTTGGTCAAACAGGAGCAGCTGGAGGGACCAGCACATCCGTGAAGTTTAAAGTCATAAAAAGGAGAAGTAGCAGGGAACACAGCTGCTGGGTCAAAAGGGAAATTTTCACGAAGCCGGCAGGAGGTAAGTCAACCGCAGGTGGCAAAGCCCTGGGAAGCCCAAAACCGAAGGGTGCGGGAGGCACAGCGGGTGCCCAGAGCTCCCGCCCGCCTCCCCCGTGCTCGGTGCCCCCGATTCCGGGTGCCCCCACGGCTCAGCCCCGCCCGGGAGGTGGGCGGCAGCACCGGGGGGTGAGGGAGGGAAGGGGATGGGGGAAGGAAGGGGATGAGGGAAGGAAGGGGATTAAGGAAGGGATGGGGGAAGGAAGGGGATGGGGGAAGGAAGGGGATGGGGGGAGGAAGGGGATTAAGGAAGGGATGGGGGAAGGAAGGGGATGGGGGGAGGAAGGGGATTAAGGAAGGGGATGGGGGAAGGAAGGGGATGGGGGAAGGAAGGGGATTAAGGAAGGGGATGGGGGAAGGAAGGGGATGGGGGGAGGAAGGGGATGGGGGGAGGAAGGGGATTAAGGAAGGGGGTGGGGAAGGAAGGGGATGGGGGAAGGAAGGGGATGAGGGAAGGAAGGGGATTAAGGAAGGGATGAGGGAAGGAAGGGGATGGGGGAAGGAAGGGGATGAAGGCTCTGGCTCCCGGCTCCTCCTCCCAGCAGCATGGATGCTCCTCTGATCCCCAGCTCCCACCAGCAGCACCGGCCCAGGGGAGCAGGGGGGGCAGAACAGCTTCTTTGATGCAGTTATTCATACCACACTGCGTGCAAAAATACACTTAGGAGGGCTGAGCTTCTCGGTCCAGTCACTCAGTGAATTTTGGCACAAGGGAAACACAGCGAGCAGGGCAAGAGCCCGTCTTACAGTTCAAAGCCAGGAGTGGCCAGTGCCAGGTTCACTCAACTCCAGCACTGCCCAGTTAAGGTCCTGCAGCTCATTAAATACTTGATGTTCACTCCATGTGCTTCCGTTTTTTTTTTTTTTTTTCTGTTTTTGTTTTTTTGTTTGTTTGTTTGTTTGTTTTTTAATGCATTTTCAAGGAGAAGGGGGTTGTTGTTTCAATCCCGCGTCATCAGGTTGGAGCGGTCCCAGCCCCTGGCCGAGCAGGCAGCCAGCTTCCCTGCAGACCAGGATGGGATGATGGGATGGCCATGCTGGGCTCCCCCTGCATGTGGAAAACAAAGGCCCCGGCCCTTCCTTCGCAGCAGGAGCTGATCCACCAGCAACAGCACCAAGCTCGTGCAAGCCGTGGTTATTCCTCTGTGCAGAGCAGGTAGCTTCTCACTACCCAGCCCCAGATACTGTTGTGAAGAGATGATTTTCACAGGTTCTGGTTTTACTGACAACCACGGGGAGTAGCAGCAAGGCCAGTGCCTCTGTAATACGAGACCTTAATCCTCATGTTAATGCTACTGCATTTCCATCACAAACTGGAGCGGGTGCCAGGCCAAAGGGAAGAGACAGAAGGGGCTGATTTCTGTCCTGCAGTTTCTAGACATCTCACTAAGAGCAGAGCTCCAATTTTCAGAAATGCTTAGATTTTAGCTGAAATTGCAATCTAAAAAAAAAAAGATAAAAAAATGCAGCTTTAACAGAGCTTGTCTGAATTATTTTTTCCCTGTAATTTTTGTGTTGGTGACAACTGCTGCCTGCAATGCTGCCTTCCAAAGGAGAGCTAAAACGTGACAGCCTGACCGGTTAGTTATTCAGCGTGTGCAGGAATCAAAGTTTTGGTGCCTGTAAAAATCACGTTGGTTTAAAACACAAGAGATTAAAGCATCACTCCAGTCTCCCCCACTACAGACTCCTTTTCTGCTCACGTACTTCACACCTCTGAGCGGGGGGGGGGATCATCCCCGATATGCACATTAGGGCATGGGACTGGCAGGACACCCCGGGCCCCGGCTGCCACAAACCCACCACCCCACACAGTGGCATGAGAAATTACTTCTATACTTGCTGCAGAGCTTTAGGAATGAGGTTCCCCGCACCTCCCCCAAAAGACCCAAGCATTCAAAGCGGGGGTAAATCCATGTCATGTTTTTGGGTCCATACAAACAGGAAGGGTCTTATAAAAGGACTCTTTACAAAGCCAAAAATTTCACTTTGTTTTGAAAGTTTATTGGATCATCTTGACACAAAATCATTACAGCAGCTTGTGGTATGTTGTTTTCTTTTTCTCTCTTTTTTTTTTTTTTTTTTTTCCCCAAGGGAATGTTGATAGCAAATAAATTTGTGAATGTAACACATCATACAGTTTCAAAATTCTAGAATCACTGCACAGGATTCTGTAAGAGAAGACTCTACATGCTAAAGTGACAGTTTTCATCCATGAATTAAAAAAACACTAATTGAGGAACATTATCCTTTAAGACAATTTTAATATGTTCAGTTTCTAATACACAAACTGGCTAACCAAGGGAGGTTGACCAATACCAAAAACTACCACTTCACCAGCAGCAAAGCCTGCTGCACATGAATTCCTGCAGCGCACAAGTGCGGTCAGAATACGAAGCTGGTCCTAGCAATAAAACCAGAGCAGAGCCTTTACAAAAATGGGAAGAGTGTAAAGAGCGTAAGACGCGCTTAAAGTACAGAACATTCACCCAAAGGATAAAAATCACCATTTTATCCTGTTCCCTGCGTAGGTTTTTAGCTCAACTTCAGTGGGCACTGCTGACACTGTTGGAGTGGTGGCGGGGCTGGGGAAGTGGAGAGCAACCCATCTCCTCCCTGGGGAGCCTCTTGGTAACAGCCATCAACAGCTCTTGACCTGTGCCTCAACGCAAAACCGTTCAGGTGTGTTCTGAGTTTGCTGGGTACAGAACAGCAAGTAGAAGAAATGGGGAGGGGAAGGGGGGCAGGGGGAAAAAAAATCAAAAGAGATTTTGGAGAAGGACATCAATTGAGCATCTCTGTAAAGGACACAGCGACATCCCCTTCCAGACAGTGATTCCACCGGATTTCAACAGTGCGGAATGGGCTTCACTTGGTAGACCCTCCCTTTCTTCCCTCTAAAGCAACCTGCTACAGACACAAGTCTGCAGCTCCTCCCCCAGCCCTCCCTCCTGCCACCCAGGCAGGGCGAGTTCTGCTGCAGGGACCCAGGTACACGGGGCGAGGGCAAGGCCATGGGATGCTACGGGGACAACTGACACGGCACAACAGCTCTGAGTTCACAGCGCAGCAGGAGGAAACTGGGCTGTATCTGCAAACTGTTCGGCGTACAAGGGACTACACACATGGGCGTTTCTCTAACCTGGTAGTGGTCAACCTCAGCTGGTGAGCAAAATGATAAAAAAAAAACAAAGCAGGAACAGACCCCTTTGGATTTCCAGTTTCTTGCTACACCCTAACTTTTCAGGAATGTGAAATTGAAGTGGACTCATAAAACACATCAGCAGAGATTGCTCAAAGGGGAGAGGCATGACAGACTCCATTTGCAGGGGTGGTCGACAGGAGCAGGGAACCAAACAGTAACACTTTCAGCCTGTTTCATGCATTCACTCTCTACTCCTTCAGCTGTCACTAAAAGAAGGTTAAGGCTCAAGGCAACTACTATAAACAGAAACTCCAACATCCCAGTTCTCACAGGGCTCATTTGGATTAGCTCAAGGAGATGGAGGATGTTTATATGCTGATCAAAATAGATCTTGAGATAATAATAATAATAAATCATATTAAAAAAAAAAAAAAAAAAAAAGAGGCCTTCAGGTCCAGCACCAGCCTCTGCTAGAAATATACATCAACTACAGCAGCCCCGAAGACACATTCCATGGCTAAGGATCAAGTCAACCTTCCCCGGCAATAAGCACAAACAACAGACTCTGTGCTACTGTTGATAAAATTCTGCTTAGTCCACCATCCCACACAGACGGCAAGGTTTATGGGATCACCATGAGCTGCTGAATAAATAGCGCCCGCCCGCCCCTCCCTCCTCCAGTCTTGTCACCAGGATCTCTTTGGGCTAGAAAGGGTTAACACCACAGTTTGTAAAAAGTTTTGAAATAAAAAGGTAACATACAGCCTTAAAATGTCTAAACTGCAAACAATGGTGGAGTTAACTGAAAAGCACGTGCCCCAGGATAGTACATGCGTACGAGGGAGAAACTTAACACTTGGGTCTGCTCGTCTTTACACATTAGGTGTGTTTCTTGTAGTTGGAATATTTTATAAGGAATATTCAGCACTTGGACAATGTCTCTTTCATCTCATCCAACAAGTTGCTAAGCAGAGCGGAATCATTACATTTCCCATCTATGGATACAGAGTTCTCTCCCTTCGAAAGAAAAAGAAGAAAGAAATCCATTAGCTCCTCTTCTAAGCAGGGACAATTGTATTCCCAGCCAAGCAGAGGGACTGGAAGCCGGCGGCAGAGCCTGCACAGGAACGAAGCAGGCTTAGCTGAGAGGTTGGTTCGGGGGAGCCATCAGTGCTGCTACCACCCACCAGCAACGTGCTGGGCAACAGAAAGCCCCGGGGAAGTACAAGCTTGGTAGTAGCACAGCAAAAACTGCCAGAGGGGTCGGATGAATTAAACTGCCCACGGTGTCCCTGGATCATTAAGGTATATTTCCCTCTTTTTGTTAACATAGGAAAGGCTGCAGATTTAGCTTCTCAGGTCTTGTTTCAGAGTAGTACAATGCTCTCACCTTTTTTACCAGTAGGCAGACGTGATGGCCTTGGATAGAACGACTGTACATTGATGCACATGAATCAACGCGTTCCACAACTATAAAGCAAGCAGGAGTTTTCATTTAGTGGGACGACTTTTAATAGAAGGTTTGCTTCCCATGAAGAGGAACTACTGCTCCGCCTGGCCTCAAGGAACAGAAGCTTCTACTGAGTGAGGGGAGGAGGAAGTCAGGGTTCAGATGATACATGTGCCTGGCTTCTCCTGGCTCCCACCCAGGATATTTCACAATAATAAGGTTAGTCTTTTGTCTTTTAAGCAAGTTGCAAACGTTTTGTGGCAAAAATGGTGATCAGAATGTAGATCTCTTCCCCAGAAATACTTTCAGTGAGGCAACGTCTAAACGCATACACCACAGTGTGATGAAAGAGCCAGTTGTTTTGCTTCATCCACTACTTTTGTTAATAACTAATAAGTCCAAACTTGAAGAGCTCGTGCTCTCCCTTACTGAAACAGAGCACTGGGGAAAGAGGTAGGCTGAAGCACTGACAATCAAACACACCCTCCAAAGAACACCTGTAAGCAAGCTGCTCCCATGATAGCTGCGACATGCCTCGCTGGACTGGAGGAAAGCTACAGGGACAGGAGGAGACTTAATTTTCAAGGACATTGCATGCTTTGAGGATACCAATGTATTACGGAACTGGAAAAAACTCCTCTCCCAAATTTATTTAATCTGGCCATCACCTGCTTCTGTCACTGTTGAGGTCATGGAGTATTGTGCTTGCTGAGCACAGCAGAAATTTTAGAATAAGGAATTTTGCAGAAGGTTCTGCATTGAGGAAGACTCACCTGAAAAATGATGATGAAAACAGATCTTTGCCAGTAGATGTTGGAAAGAAATGCTAATTCCATCTACTTTAATAGAACTCATGTGCAGATCTCCAGACTCTAGGAGCTTGGCAAAAGCATCACTGCAAAACAGGAAGGGAAGTAAACACTTGTGCTAGAAATTCAAGTGCCACATTTGCCCCATGCAGACCTTGAGACATCTCAGGATGCAGAAGTCTAAGTACTACCCAGCTCTAGGAAAATGGGTTTTACAGCAAATATGGGAACCAGACTCCAGACTCCACCAGAGCACCCTACGACCTCACCCAGAGCTACTTCCACACGACCTCTGCCAGCCTACAGGGCACAGAGCTCCTTCTTCAGAATCACTCGAAATAAGTTGCTGGAAATATTTTAACAGTCAAACATTACACAAGATAACTGCACTGTAACCAAAGCAATCACAAGCAGCCAAAGTCAAAAGCATGCTGTGTATCTTGCAGAGATGGCCTGCAGCCAAAGCTCAGCTTCACATGGGCGGCAAAAGCACCAGTGTTGTGCTCCCTAAATGGCACTTACCTATAGCAAGGCGTCGTGATCAAGTATGAAGCGCAACTGAAGTGCAATTTGAAATCTAGTTTTTCATGGGTTGAACCTTCATCATTCTGCAACAGGTCAAAGGAAAGGAGATGAATGGGAGCCCCGAGGCAGCAAGAGGAGGCACCACCCCCACCTACCAAACAGGCACCAACGAAGACTTTAGGGCTCAACTGCCTTTGATATACCCTGGCTGGGCCTGAAGGATCAGCTCGAGAACAACCATCACGCTACAACGTCAGGCCACTCAGAGAAAAGATTTGGGCAGCTAGGTTGATACATACACCTAGAGCAGAAAAGGGACATGACTAGAAGGATCAGGCCACCTTTTTAATTGCACTCCACTGAAAAACATTAAGCAGCCTCAATTTAAACTAACACATGGAGATGTGGTTTTACAGTTCACCGTTTCCCAAGCAAAATAATAAATTACTATCTTCCAGATTCTTAGGTACTGAAAATAGGGCTGCTATACTATTTTTAAGGAATCCTTAAAATAGAAGCAATGGCTGACTCAGTAATAGCCCCAACTGTCTCCATTCAACTTCATTCAAGCTGTTGATGCATCTCCTTCATCAAGAATTTTACTGTCGTAAGATTAGAAACCTACATAGTCTTATACAGGTCGATACCTATTAAAAGATGCCTTCAGCTAACCTCACTCTTGCTCTGGGTTTTCTGTTCTTGTTAACTGTATCTAATTCTTATTACTGTTTTTCCTGCCTTGTACCAGGTAGCAGTGTCCAACTGATCTTTGGGTAACCGAGATCAGAAGAAACAGACTCTGGGTTGCATCTCTCGCTAGCTGGTTGACCTCCTCTCCCCAGCAGATGCGCCACTGTCAGCTAGAAAATCACTGCAATGTGGCATATGTTTCAGGCTGCGTTGCTCACACACTGCCAGGAATGACAATACAGGACATGCTTACGCAGTATTCGGGACACTCTTTGCACAAGATGTCATGTAAAAATACCTCTCACATCACAGAATGGGCTGGTGCAGCAGAGATGAAATGATGCCTAAAAAAAAAAGCTCTAAAGCAGTGCTTTCCACCCAAGTCAAGCTCCCTTATGCAGTTCCAAAGGAAGCAGAAGCACAGATTTTAAAGCTGCACTTACTTTGACTATAAAGGACAGTGTTCCTTTTAACTTCTGAGCCATAACAATACTCTGAAGTGTAAACACAAACTGGGCTTCATTAGAGATTCCTAGCACGAAGAGAGGAGAGGGAGAAGTCAGGTCAGAAAAGGGTTTCCATATCTAAGTAATGGTTAGAATAAACTGATCAGTAGCAGCTAAGCTTTATGTATTGACTATTTCTGAAGCGAGTTTGAAATTTTCCATGTAGTTGGAAGAGACTTATATGCACAATTTCTGCTGTGAATTAATAGTGTTACAGCACTTAGCTCTCAGCTCTCTGAAAAGCAGCAGTGATAGCTGGCATTTGGTAGAGGTTTTTGAGTGAGTGCCTGGGCAAAGTATGTCACAGTGGCAATATATTTGAACTGTTTGTATAACGGGAAAAACACACAGCTTTCCAAGCAGTTTTCAGAACTAACTTGAATGCTAATGTTTCTGCGTTTTTATTTTAATATACTAGTCTGCATCAAGAACTGCCTTAAACAGAATTAAAAAAACCCAATCCACTGTTTCTCACGGGGGACCAAAATGCACCCTGAAGACACCCAGACAACATCTGTGAGCTGTTTCAGTATTCAAATTAACTCTTTGGCAAAGGAAGTTAAATTCGAAGTTCAGCAATTCCACCGTACTATTGTACTGTGTGTGAAGCCATTACCCTTCATCTCTCTGTCTAATATTTCTTCAGGGCTCAGCCCCCCATCCAAATAAGCACATACTTATCACAAACTTTCACTGCATATGGCCTCTGCCATTAGAACAGTGGAACAATAGCTTGAGAATAAAACCAGAGCGGATTCCTAATGGTTCACAAAACTATAACTTTGTTTCATTTTAAATCTCATAGCAAACTCCCCATGATTTTTCAATTCTTGTAGTTGGTGATGTTGGCATGTTCAAAGGTGTGCCAGTCTGCAGTCACCCGAAAAAGCAACTCAGGCATTCGGACTCCCAGCCCTACATTAGAGGCTTTGCTCTTGCTATACAGAACCACCTGCATTTATAGCCATACTGTAAGAAGGCTTATCCTCTCCAGTGAATTGTGTGAGCCCAGCGAACACCCAGGCAGAGGGACATGTCTTACTGGAAAACAGCAAGTAGCAAGAAGTTCAAACAATTCCTTCCACAGGAGGGCAGTGCAGGACTAGACACACTCCAAGAACCCTGTGCAAAGCTGCGCGTACCAGGGGGTAGCTGGAAGGGCACAGGTATCCCATCATGTACTGATGATCCTTCTGGTCGGAGCATTTTAGTGTTGAGAGAGTCCAGGACATTTAGTTCCATGCTCTTAAGGAAGCTAGTGCTTTTGTTCTCAAAGATAACAGAGACAGTAACTTGACTATCATTCTGGAGGTTTCCTTGAATATCGTAGGTCTGCAAATGAAGGAAAAAAAGAAAAAAAAAAAGAATCACAGGAAAGATTCAGAAACTTCAAACAGCAGAGCACTGGAACAGAATACAGCATCAGAATAAAGCAAGCTTCAAAAAGAAGGTAATTTGTTA